ATGATCAAGCTGGAGTAACATTAAAGTATACCATAATTTTGTAATAGAAAATATGGTCGAAAGATTCAAGACTTTATACTGAGCGACGTACTGGCAGCTGCTGCAATGTGGCAATAAAACATGCTAATCTAACCGATTGCTATCTTGTGCTATATATCTAACTGCAAAAATGTAAAGTGATAGTCACACACACCTCATCACCTTAAGATTCTATCATTCTAATAAAGTTATATCAGGATAATATTTTACTAGCCCACCGAAATTAACAAAATTGGCAAAAATACCTTTACCTAAGAAATCCAAGTTTACTTTTAGTAGTTTATAGTCATTAACTTAAAGCGAACTGAGTTCCTTCCTACTTAGGTCGTGGGTAAATGTAAGTATAAGTATCTAGAGTTAACAGTTGTACCATATGTGTTATTAAATTAGTATTTATATCACATAATATGTACCTAAATGTTTTAAACTTAACCACTTCTGAGTGAAATACTTTTTAATTAACGGTTTTCAAAAAAGGGAGATATTCTTTATTCTATTTCATAATCTGAAATGAGTTCAAAATTATTTTAAGTATTAACGGAAGTTCTACTATGGTGATATATCTGATGATGGTACCTGAGGGAAAACGAGATAAAGAAATTAAGAGCACAGGTAGTGCGTTTTTTATTATTTCTTACAATTAAGCAACATTAATGCTTGAATTATACTACATCATTTATTATTTCTTAATATTAAGCCACATTCACATTTCAAATCACCACTACAACATAGTTCTATAGGTACCGACTTCACAAAAAAGTCCTTCTTTCTTTACATTTCGTAACTTTGCACGGACGTTCCGTACGTGCAAGGGTTCGTAACGATACAGAGCAAAACGTTAAACCGTACGGTACGGTTCTACGTTTTGCTCTGTATCGTTACGAAACGATTTTTAATCTAATTTTAATTTAATCCCACGAGGGAGTACCGGCCAATGGGCACGCCGCCTCCGTCGATACGGTGCGGTATCCGCGTATGGCTCTAACCGCCAATATCTTCTGAGGGCGCCAGAGTCGTGCACTATTCTGGGCGGTCAGAGCCGCCGAAAGAGGTTTTGGCCTACCCCAGTCTCAGCGACCCTTAATGGTTGGTGAATGTGAAACAAATGGTTCCAAACCAACTAGGCTTCAATTACTTCGAGGTTTGTAACGTATGGTGTTCAGTGGCTTCCATGCGTCATCGTCTTCTTAGTTGTATTATAAACAATCAAGGTCAAAAATAATAATATTATATTTAAATAGAAATACCTTTTTTCTTAGGGCAATTTAGGGTAACGGTTAGTTTGTTTTAAAGATTGATAATAATATAAATACTTAATCTTATGAAAAATTATAACTTTTTTTATTTAAAAAGAAAAACTTCGGGCGGGTGATGCGCTCGGCTATACATGACATGATGTACTAACTCGATATCTTCAGATTTATTTGTTTGAGATTTAATCTACACACGATGTAATAAAAATCGAATTTATTTCCATGTATTATAATGTCAGTGTATTGTAAGTTTTTATAATTAATTGTAAAATTTGATACTGTAAAATAATTTTAATAAAATCACCTTATCTTCATCATGTAAATTATATTCAGATACAATTTAAAAATTAAGTAAAATAATAAATATTCTTTATTAGAACTTTAACAGTAGAACCTCTGTAAGCCGAACTTCAAGTATTTAAATCTTTTTGTGACGCAGAGTCAGCAGATTATCCATATTGCAAAATAATACCGTATGTAGCAGTCTTAAGAAAAATAACACGTACAGCCATGCTTTCACGTCAGTCACTGCCGGCGGACGGCGACGCACTAGCTAATTGGTTGAATGTACCCCCGCCCCGCGTCCCCCAAACCATCAGGAGGGCCAAGCTTACGGCGGTTTAACTATAGTCGTACTATTATGCCACTGGTTCTAATGACTACTCTGTTGAATTTTAGCATCGCTTTTAAATAGGTGCTGCCACTGAAAGTTCAATACGAAGAAAAGTATAAATAGGTGTCTAGGTATCAAGTGTTGTGAATGCATGAATGTTACCAACCAACATTATACAGGTAAATTAGATTGGAGAAATTTTTGCGTTTGTAGTAGTGTATACCTGCGGACAGCGTAAACTGGTTTATTCTGGTTTTGTGCGTGTTTTTTTACTTTCCACTATCAAGTGACGATTTTTTGCTTTAGATTGAAATATCTCGGAAACGGTGCGTCTTAGGCCAAAAATAACAAAAATTTTGACCCCCCCGTAGTTTTAAAAACCTAGATGAAAGGAAAAAAAAAAAAAATATCGGTCTCTCCTCTTTGAAGTTTCACTTCTATCGTGTGTGAATCGCACACACACCTTTTTTTTTATAAAGTCAAAACCTTTTTCTTTAAAATAAAAACTTGTTTTTATTGAAAACAAAAATCAGAGTGTTGATAGGGATAAGTAAAAAATTAAATAGTAATGTTAGGATATCGAAACATTTTTGTATAGGCCAGAACGATATAGTGGAAACGCGCTCTAAGATCTGAGTAATATACACACCACTACATATGCAAAAATTTCTCGAGACTAATTTCACTGTACGTCTGTGTTATCTGGTTATACATTGAAACACCACACACAGAGATAGGCATCGAACCGGCGTGCGAATATGAACATTATGGTGCTACTGCATTTATGACCCTTGACTGTACAATGATTACTGTGAAATAATAATATGGTATGGCTTCTCCATTATCGGCTTCTCGGCATGCAATACTTAACATTTATAATTACATATTTTAGGAATTTAATTAGAACATTGTCCACATTTAGAGTTTTTTTTAAAGACTTCCCAAGACAACAAAAGAATATATCCTGTGGACTTTACAAACATTCATGAAACGTACACAAATAACACCCAGACTCAGAACAACAATCGGTGTCTCACACAAAGTGATGTCCCATGTGGAGATCGAACCCACAACACTCAGCGCAGTAGAAAGCGGCGATGTGACCGCCCAAACCACTACGCCATCCGTGCAATCAAAGATTTCAGAATGTGAGATTTATTAATATATCAAATATTTATAACTATAAATTAAATAAAAAAAGGTACATTTTATGTCAGTTTAAAATAAATACAATAGAATGTCATAATAATTTAAGAGAAGAAAACAAATAAATAGACGCAGATAAAATATATTATATTACAGTCCATATCATTTAAAAATTCTGCAACTATATAGTACGCCTTTTGTAACAGAAATGGTTTAAACAGATTTTTTAAATTAATGAAACAAGTAATTTGTATTAAACGTTTGGCTAGATGGTTATAGACTCCTGGCGCCATGCAAAAGACAGGACACTGCGATTTATCACTTTTATGCTGAGATCAACATACTTTGAAATTGTGACGCTTACTTTTATGATTATCAAACATTTTTAGTACCTCTGACAAATATTAATTCATAGGAAATTCGTCTATGATGATCACTTCCATGTCTATCTGTCTGCCTGTATGAATTGAGTGTTTTTTTTTGTCTGGAACGCGTTTAGGTATCAAGTTGCGGTCCCTAAAAGCTGTATTAGTGGCCGTGGTCATAGACTACGTCCATCATCCCTAGCTACTTGTCCTTTTTGCGGTGAACGCGCAAGTTCAACTTAACACCAATACTTATATCTACGGTTTCCTTACAGATGTAAAAAAAAACAATTTTAGAATTTCATCACTTTTTAGATAATAAAAATTTATCGGGTACACTATCCAAAAATCACAAGATTTATACGTTATCATTAACTTTTCAGTTCCAGTATCGCTAATTCTTCTTTCGCTGTCTAAGCTGTAAATCTCTGTAACGCCCTCGGAGACTTGTTGACAGAGTCATCAGAATATTATTATTTTTTAGAGATAAGTATATAGGTATACATATATATTAGGTCTTTACATATGAAGTTGGAGATTTGTGTGAAAATATTTTTTCTTTTTTTAGTTCAAGTACTGGCCCAAATTATCTATACACTTTTACCATTTTATGTCTTTAATGAAGAAGTCTGCTGGACGGAAGGCGATGAAGTCAACGAAAGCATTTTTTACTACCTGAATTTCAAATTGAGTGGTAGTTTGTTTGTATGTTTTTTGCGCTCACGCCTAAACCACTAAACCGATTTTAAAAATTATTTCACTAATAGAAAGCTTAGCTAATGTAGCCTATGTAACTCCCTGATAATAATCAGCGAGTAACATAGGCTACTTTTTACCACGATAGTCGACATAAACACGGGCGGAGCCGCGGCTAAAAGCTAGTAAGTCATAAAAAAAGTGGTGTGTCTTTAAAGAAAACTTAAGTTTGTAGAAAATCTTACCATTTTATCTAAATAAAGTAAAAAAAAATATTAAAGTAATTAGTACTTAATAATCTAACATACTGCAGTTCATACACACTTCAGAGTAAGTAATGTTCTAAACCATATCTACTTATTACACGCGCTACGGCTGTTTGATATTGATGTTTATCTGGCTTCCAGGTAACACAGCAACCGGAGTTGCTGTCGTATATGTCATAATAAGATGTTCCCATTTCCTATTTCAGGCGTAGAGTGGTTTTAAGGTTATAACTCATTAGAGTTACTCGACCAGCACCACCAGAGTATTCTTTGTATGGAGTACTATGGCTAAACGCTCACTACATCAACTCCGGCACGTCTCACCCGCAGTTTTACCATGAGGGGACAGCAAGTGGACCACTCGGTGATCATCATTATACTTAGATTATTTCCTTTTGTGAAATTTAATAATTTCACATCAAAAATACCTACATCACAACTAAAATTCTGTACCTTAAAACTACTAAAGTAAGTAAATCAATTTCCTTTACACATAACAGGTAGAAAAAAACTGACCCAAATTCAGATTTTATTAAACTACGAAACAATTCATGCATTATGCTATACTTCGCAAGGATCCACCGAAAATTGTTTTCATATTGCATGTATCTCTAGTAACCGTTCATTTCTTGGGATTTTCTTTCAAATAGTCATCAATAGTGTGTACAACGGTTGATAGCGATGTAAATACTATATTATTTTTTATTTTCTTTTCTATTTGCTTATTATGGAGAGGATGACAATGATTCTCGGACCTGTGAACCAAAGAAAATATTTTAGTTCTATTAACAGTGTCAGAACCAACCATTATTTGAGATCATATTGTAGAGATTGCCATGACAAAAAACAATTACTTGTACAAAACTTATTCAAAGTGTATTCGATTTACAATATTCATCGAATTCTAGCGATTTTAAAAATTTGGGTGTGGTTATCGTGATTGATACGTCTGTGTACTTACGTCGTAAGTTGTTTTCTTATGATCTATGTTTTAAAAGTACTGTACTTACACAGCGGTAACTTCTTCATTATCAATATCAATGTAAGCTGGACAATGCATTTTACGGTAATCGAGGCATCGCCAACGTATTTTTCGACCACCGTTTGAATGATGATGAGAATTGTAAAGATAGCCATGCAGTAACAGTTGTAATGACCCTCTGTTAGATATTGTATAATGCGCTACTTTATCTGAAAATGAATATCTTTATTATTTAATAACCGAAACCCACAACACTCAGCGCAGTAGGAAGCGGCGAGGTGACCGCTTTACCAAATGCGCTACCCCTGCAGTCTATGAGTACTTACCGTACTACTGTACCATACTGTACCGTGTTGAGTACTATACTGCCTTGCTCATATTTATTTCAGTATTTAGATAACTTTAATATAAAGAAGAAATTATTTAATGTAATCCATTATACACTATATTATAGTTTTCACCCTCCAAAATGTGAAGCATTCTTTACAGTAAGAGACTGTATGCAGAGGTAGACCCCTCTGTGCAAGTTTATTTGTATTGATTTAATTCTCCAGATAGTCTTTCAAAAAAAATATTATTCAATAGCTTACCCATTTCCTTTCTGATTAACTTATTTAATGCAATTTTAGATCGGTCTTCTTTACGATGTATGTCTTTTATATACGACAGAACATTTTTAGGTTTTTTCGTTAATGTTCTTCTATTTACTGTTTTGGATAAAACTGATTCTATGTTGTCTGTGTGTATATCAAATACACCTTGAGTAAGTTCAGGTTGCAAGTCATGAGTACTTAATGTAATATTAACTGGATGCAAAATTGGGTTATCACTTAATTCTATACTAGTAGGGTTCTGATTAGAATTGGTATGACAGGTATTGGTATTTAGTTCAATATTAGCAGATTTTTTTGTTTTATCTTTACTTAATTCTATAAGTGAATTGTTAGTCTCCAAATCTGTAGTGATTATCCTTTTATCATTATCATTTTCTGTATTGTTTGTGCTTAACTGAATATTATTACAAGAAGTTTTTGGTCTTAGTATTACAAAATTACAAATATTGTTGATATCAATGTTATTTTCATGTGTAGTTTCAACGTCATTTACAATGCTACTGCATTTTTCAGATTCCATTTGTTCACTGCTTTTATTAAAAATGGGAACAGGAACTGGAGTAGGCTGCATTTCTTCATCATTATGAGATATTGCATTATTTTCATTAGCTATGAATTCTAAATCGTAATTATTATCATTGTTATTAATAGTTATACATGCAGCAAAATTATTTTCTCGTGGTTTGTCAATTCTGGAAGCAAAAGATACTATTGTTTACTCTCCAGTGGTTCAGTAACGCCACTGTGACACTAAGCAGGTATAAGTAATTGTGACCCATTATTTGTTAAATACTATCATCAGTAAATACATACCTTTCAAACTGACGCTCAGATTTATTGCCGGATGTTATCTAAAATACAAAAGATTTTATTCTTACACTGAATAAGATTGTAGTCATTGATTGTGACTGTGCTGCATATTACAGAAATTAGGTTTTATGGGTTTTATTTAATTTGCTTCACATCAATTATGCTCATAGTTAACTTATGGACCCTATAAGATAAGAAACAATATTATTTGCAAATACCAATAAGGGTATTCTTTCCTTGTGAGAAAGTTCAGAATTGTGGTTGCAGTTATAATAGTAAAATGTTATTATAATATTAAAGGAAACATTCATGAGGAGCCAGTTTAAATTTATTCCAATAATTACCTCAGATGATGCAATATTGGCAACACCTCTTATGCATAGAGATTTACAAGCTTCTATAAATGTGTCCATTATGTCTGATGGTATCTTGACTTCTCCAGTATAAATGTACTCCAATATATAACCCAGTATTTTGTGATTAACATTCTGAAAATAATTATTGTTCTTAATGTCGACAACAGATTTGGCATGGTAATAAAACTTTTGACTGCAGCGTCACACACCAGAGGCAATCATGTTGCAGTCACATTCTCATTTATTATAAACTAGTTGAGACCCGCGGTGTTACCCGCGTTTGTTGTTATAACCGCGGGCAATGCCGCGAGGCGAAGCTAGTCTAAAAAAAGTAGCCTAAGTAGTAACTTAGGCTACTTTTTTTAGACTAGCTTCGCCTAAGGAGTACCTTATGTCATCAGCTATCTGCCAGTGAAAGTCCCGTCGAAATCGGTCCAGCCGTTCCAGATTACCCGAAACAAAGAGACAGACAGTCAGACAGACAGACAAAACATTTTTTTTTTTATTTTGGCATATGTACCGTGTAAACATACTTATGCATTTAGTAAAAAGCGGTTATTTTAATATTACAAACAGACACTCCACTTTATTTATTTTTATAGATATTCTGTTGCCAATGGCAATATTACAATAAAAATGAATTAACTATGAATTTTATATTTAATTAAATAATTAAAAGTAATATTTTTTTTTAAATTATTAGAAATATTTAATCTATATAATTATATCTAAAGGACATCATTCACGCTCCATTCAAAAAGTACCCAAAAAAAAAGTGCCGGCCAACGAAAAAAATGATTTTATCGGTTAGAGAATGACATTCTAAGATTTTTTCTTTAGACGGCTAAGAGCTAAGACCGATTACTTATGAGTTATATGACTTAGAAATAATAAAAAAATGCATTTATACGAGTTAGTCTGAACAATATTTACTTCATTATTATAGCAAAAATCAAATAATGATGAAAAAGAATAACTTAATCTCGCTTAATAATAATATAATATGACAAAAAGCCTAATTATATACAATCATCATTAGGTACCTAAGTACCTACGTACGTATTTATGTGTAGGTATTAGTGTTATAAAATACAGCCTTGGCCAAAAGTATTAGGCACCCTACATTTTACTTAAAATAAAGGAAAAAAAACAACTTATACTTTTGAATTGATTTATTAGCATTAAATTACACAAAAAAAGACTGATAAAAACTTAAAATCTAGTCGGTCCACCTTTGGATTTAATTACTGCACTAATTCTAGCTGGCATGCTGCCGTACAAGCTTAGTACAATCCTCCCTTGTAATGGCATGCCATTCTTGTACTAACGCATTTTTTAATGTCGTTTTCGATGTGATACTATGCTCTTTAATCTTGCGCTTCAAAATGCTCCAAAGATGCTTGATGATTGCGCTGGCCATTCAAACAAGTCAATGTTGTTTTCAGTAAACCAACGCATCTTAGTCGCTGACTTATGACAAGGTGCATTGCCTTGCTGGAATATAACTCTAAGTTGGTATCGCCGAAAATATTCGTTAGCGAAGGCATAAGCGCAGTTTTAAGCAGTTTTATGGACTTTTCAACTGTTCATACGACCTTCGCAAACAAACATTTCGCCAACCCCATCAGTAGCCATGCAGCCCACTGGGGCTGCGTACCGACAGAAAAGCATGGAGGAGGCAGCATAATGTACTGACATTATGCTGCCTCCTCCATGCTTTACTGTCGGTACGACGCAATCTGGATGGTATTCTTCGCCCACACGTCGCCTCACGAAGGTCACAGCTGGCGTTCCAAATATCTGTTGAAAAAAGAAAAAACTTTTTTTAAACTGCCTTAACTTTTATTATTTTAGTTAAATAAATAACTGACCATGATTATTAATAACAAAAGCAGTAAAATTTACTTACCTCAAAGTTAGATTCGTCAGACCATACCACATTGGCCCAATCTTCCTCAGTAAAATGTTGATGCCGTAGAGCCCATTCAAGTCGTTTTCTTTTGTTAGCTTCTGCTAGTCAGGGCTTCTTCCTGGCTTTGCATCCTTTTAAGCCTGCTTCTCCAAGTCTTCTTTTGGTGGTACGAGCACTTATTGACTTTCCAGCCTCTTCGACAAAGTAGCAGCAAGCTCTGATGATGTTTTCTTCTGATCTTTCATAGATTCGCGTATTAATTTTCTATCCTCGCGCTTCGAAGTCACACGTTTTCTGCCTGTTCTTGGTTTATTAGCGTGACTGCCAGTCTCAGCAAACCGCTTGATTGCAAAGCGCAACGCGAATATTTCACTAATTTAGCAATTTATTTTTGCGACTTCCCATGTTCATGGAAAAGTTGTATTTTTACTCGGTTTTCCAAACGAATTTCACTTTTTTTCGGCATTTTTGAATAAATTACGCGTCAATTTAATCACTATGTTAGAAATAAAAGCTTGTTTACTCGTTAAGAGTCCTGAACACAAGTGACCAAACATTGACTGATAAGAACGCATAAAAACAAATCCTTTGTTTTCAGTCACAAGGTGTTTTATGACCATAACAGATAGCTGCTTGCTTTTCTAGGAAGTTATTTGTGACCCCGGCATGCCATCTAAGATAAGCATTTATTCATTGTTCAATCAGTAAACATGAATTGTGCATTTTTCTGGGGTGCCTAATACTTTTAGCCATTTGGCCAAATTGTGGTTACTTTGGCTTTATGTAAAGAAAAAGACTTCATTTCGTTACCTACATGGCTTTATTCATATGTTATAATTCCGCAGGTCTTACGATAACATTTTCTAAACCTAATGCAGGTGGATTTATGGGAGGTTGTTGGTGCCTCGCGAACGTCATGTACCACACTATGCACATAGTGTGGGAACAGCAGCCCACCGTTCTTTTGCCAACATTGCATGGGCAATAATAATACGGTATGGCATCACGGCCACTCAATGATGTGTCGATGCCAATGTAAACATAATATACTCTGGCCCGAACATGCCGAGATTGTACTCTTCCTCTTATAATTATTATGTTTTCTCCCAATTCTCTGACGTGTTCTGTTAAAAGTCTGTCGCCAAGCTCGACCGTAAAAACACCATTTGGATTGATGTGCTCGCCGTAATAGCTTTTAGCTTGTTTTATTTGATAAATACCCAAACTAAATAATATTAAATCTTCTTCTGAGAGCCTTGGAAAATCATCGAACTCGGGCATATCGGCGGACATCGGCTGAACACAATTTCAATTTCGTCTTCAGTAGAAGCGGTCTTCTATTATAATTATGCCTCACAACTATATCAGCCAGGGTGTTAAGGATTGGCATTCTATAGTTTATTATGGCCAAAAAGGATTGGGCATGAATATTGTCATTTATTAGTATATGGTATGCATTAATTATAGCAGCCGCTATCTTAAAACAATCAAACATGTGAGGAAGAGCACAATTTATATTGACATGTCTCAAAAATCTAAAATCCCGTTTGAAAAACCCATTAACTACCTCCACAACCCACCAACAGATAGTTATAAGGCGTTTTATTTGCTTGCATCATTGTCAGCTGGGTTTCATTTCGGAGCTTGGCTTCAGGCATATGTGCACAATATCCCAGTGACTCCATTGGTGATATGGCATCTCTGAAGCCAAGCTATCCAAAATAAATACATCACCTTGTCTAAAAAACCAATTAAAAACACCATCGCCGTTGTCAGTTTCATTAGGTTTCATTGTTTAGGTTTTAAATATTCAGAAATATTTGTTAGTTAGTTAGTTAATTAGTTGTTAGTTAATTGATACATAAATGTAAATGCTCATTTTATGATTTTCGGAGATCCATTTTGGGTCTAAAAGTTGGTCATAGACGTTTGTTGTAATAATAAAAAAATATTTAAAAGATCATTTGCCATAAGATGACATAGTTTTTTTTACTTTTTACACTTTAATTTTTGGGTACATTTTGAATGATGTCCTTTATGAGCTAAAACTCGTACTTTCCAGCTGCCTGTTGCCTAAAATATTTTGCTTTTATTTTATTCTATTCTTAAATTAAAATAACCTTTTAGTTGGTTATTAATATAACTATGGAATCAATATGAATTTCTTAGGCTCCAACATTTACACTGGTGGTGAATGGGTTAAAGATATGCAGGGTTACTGGTTAAGTCAACATAGATACTGAAGGGGGTTGTAGTTGTCATCATTGCTGATAAATCTCACTATGATATACCATATCCCAAACCTAAATATTTTCAAGATGGCAATGGACGTAACCGGAGACCCTGTATAAATCACTCATCTAGTTCATTTAACTTACTGATTTAATTCAGTTCATTGGTCGCTTAAATGATGATATATATTTTTTCTTTTTATCAAAAGACAGATCCTGCACTTGTAACATATCCTGTGTAGCAGGGGACTTTACATACATGAAAGGAACACAAATAACAGCCATGCTAAGAACAATAATTTCTAGGTCAAACAAAATGTTGTCCCATGTGGGAATGGAACTAGAGAGGCTTAAACTACTACACCACCCAGTCAGTTTTTTATGTAGGTAGCTTGTTGAGAATAAAAAATATTAGTATTTTTATGATTTATCTAAAAGTTATAAAGATATTATAAGGAATCAGTTTGTTTAAAAAATGATTTTTACATACTTACCTACTTTAATCAATATACGTTAAAACAACTTACATTCAAAAATATTACTGGATGCTGACAAGGTGCTGATTGTAACATAGCTCTTAGATATGGGCTAGCGAGCGCCACTATATTTCTATGTACTTTTACTAAGTGACCCTCTGCGGCCAACGTCATATCAACGAATTCTGAGTTCTGCAATTTAAATGAAACATAAAAACATTTAATCTACGAAGAATGTAATAAACCATTCAAGACTAAAATAATCGCAGAACCTGTTGTAAGCAGGAGAATCCTTTAGATACATTGTTTAAATGTTCGTCCCAACTAATACAGATTTCAGTATTATTCATTGTAAAGTTTTCTTATTTAATTATTTAAATAACCGAAGAAAATCATGCTCAAAATAAACAAATATTAATATGACAACTGCTACCTAGTGCTGCCAGCAAAACACAGAGTCACAGAGTCCACTGTACAGTAATATCAGCAAAATACCTAACCACGTTAATGTTAACATTTTTTTAGATTATTATGATTTTCAAAAAAAGATCCATTATTATTAGAAGAGGCCCAAAAATAGTGATATTGGGCTTCCTCAAATAAAGTGTACAATTTGTTTTATGTTGTGTCGACTAGGGTGAATTTTCGTGCGATTAAGCGATTTTGCCAGACATATCAAATATAGCTCACTTGAGACCCATATAATTTTGTGGCCGTTGTGCTACCCTGTTTAAAAGGATGTATGCCTATTTTACTTCATTTTGTCTCTCGCTTTGCTAAGGAGGGAAGTGGATTTACTGTATTTCCAACTCCTCCAATTTTCTTCTGATTAATTTCGTTGCGGGTTCCAAGACAGTTTAATTTTTTCCTGGGACTTCCCGAGTGTCATAACTCGGTGTGTTTGTTGATCACACTGAGGAAGTTACGTTAGATATATTTATTAGCGATGAGCCCCGGTATTGCACGGGTGCAATGTAGATACCTACTACGAACGTGGTGTTAGTGTGGGAGTAATTAAATTATACCATTAGTATGATAAGACATCGTCATATGCAATATAAAATATATAGGCCCGCTCTGCTCCTGCCGGCCCGATTATTTATTGTTCAGTCCGATTATTATTCAACTTCAACTTTTGGTTAACGGCTTTGTGGTAGAGTGTAACCACAATTTCGAGAATGTCATGTATTTGAAAGACAAACTGTCAAAGGGATTATTATTCTACACGTATTTAATTTTTTAAACTTGTCAATATTGTCATGTCAACTATCAGTGTCAATATTGTCATTTCACTGTCTCGAGTTCTCGTTCTCGATTGTGTTGTGACCACAGAACATATATACCCCTAAAGGGGAAGAATAACGACTCCATACTATTTTTATGAGGAAATTTTTCCTTACCGGCCGGCGCCATCTATGCTCCGCCCACCAAAACTAGACAGTAGAAGCTAGGGCGGGAATTTCAAAACAGATACTTTGTATTGCATTTTATGCACAAGTACAGTGCGTTTCTCGATAGTGTTCATCAAGATGGTCAATTATTTCTCAGCAAAAACAATTGACATCTAAACGACATCACTATCGAGAAACACACTGTACTTGTGCATAAAATGCTGAAAGCAATATTTATGGAACAGTGTAATAAAAGAAACATTAGTATTTGACTTTTTTATTTAGCATAATATTCATTATAATTTATCAGATATTCATATTATAAGCAACTATATACTAATTTTACATGAATAAATGTGTTTTTGGATTATATATTCATTTGGGACAAAAGGTGTTCACAAGTATGTGTATGTAATTTTTTTGCGTGTGTTGTGGCCACCCTCTAGTGTCAGAGCTTATTAAGTCGCCTCTGGGAATCCCACAGGCCTCTGACATGGCGTGTATGTAATGATAATTAATCACAAAATTTGTCGCTTAATCTAAACACAAATTAAACATAATATTCTAAAAATGAGATAATACATACAATTTGAAAATACAGCAAGCATCTTCGACCATATGGTCTATTGCATACAATTTTAACATCAAAAACCTAGACAAGGTCAAACACAAGTTTACACTTTACAGACATATATCATAATATTATATAATATGTATTATTTCAGTTTAATAAAATAAATAAAGAAATGGTTAACAAGAGAGATACTTATTATTTTTGTTGAAGGTAGACAGATCTGACCAATTTAGCTACACTATCGTCCATTAATAAAACAAGTTGTAAAATAATAAATAAATCATAATCAGCCTATAATGAAATGAAATGATATTTATTTCTGTAAGTAAATCTTTTCAGATATTTTTACAAGTCGGACTTTATAGAAGGAGCCGGCATTTCCTAAGACTCACTCTGGGAAGAAACACCGAAACAAACCACAGAGGTGTCTTTTTTTTTTAAGTCCGTAAACAAAGTTAATTAAAACTGTGCGAGTACAGTATAGGGTCTGGATAGGCCTTTTGAGGAAAGGATCATAGTTTTGAGTCAACCTGTCCATACAGACGGCATACAGGCTCCAGCCATCGTGTAGCCTAACCGATATTGGTCAAGATCAACGACCCGAAGCACGACACTACCGCCAGCAGGACATTTGGGTAGGCCGTGGAAACACTCAAAACCACCAGAAAGATAATAAAAAATTAATTAACATTACAAGCCTACACTGTACTCACATTTACATACTTACACAAAAAATAAAAAAATACTACACAGTTCAAAGTCAACGAAAAATAAAATACGAAAACAAAATACGAAATACACCAAAAAATAATAATTAAATGTCCATCACTTTCAAACTTAACAACAAAGATGTCTACGTAAATGTGGGAGTGAGCAGCATCAATCCCAAGCAAATTTGTCGGCTAAATAATCTGTAATAGTGTAGTAAGCCTTTTCACATAGTTTTAGCTTTACTAAAGACTTAAATTTATTAATACTTAATTCATGGAATTTGCTTGGCACTTTATTGTAAAATCGCACACCCTGACAATGAAAAGACTTGCTTACTTTTTGTAGTCTAGTGGTTGGTAACACGAGTTTATCTTTATTTCTAGTGTTTATTTTATGCATGTCGCTAAACTTTGTGAATAAATGATTATTTTTCTTTACATACACTAAATTTTCATATATATATTGAGATGCGACTGTCATGATACCAATTTCTTTAAACTTATCCCTCAGTGACTGCCTATAACTAAGATTATAAATTGCACGAATAGCTCTCTTTTGCAACACAAATATACTTTGAATGTCAGCAGCATTTCCCCACAACAAAATACCATATGACATTACACTATGAAAATAGCTAAAATACACCAGTCTAGCTGTTTCTACATCGGTTAATTGACGAATTTTGTAAACCGCGTATGCTGCAGAGCTAAGTCTATTCGACAATCCGTCAATGTGTGGGCCCCATTGCAATTTAGAGTCTAGTGTTATACCTAAAAACTTGGTGGTGTCCACAAGATTCAACTCCTTTCCATTTATTAGAACATTGGTCTTTACCTGTTTAACATTAGGTGTAAAAAATCTAATACATTTCGTTTTATTCTCGTTTAAAAATAAATTATTAACATTAAACCAGTTTACAACCTTAGAGAGAGTGCTAATCACGTCATCAGTTACTGATTGCTGTCGTTTAAGTTTAAATAACAGTGAAGTGTCATCCGCAAATAGTACTATCTCCTGATTATCATTTTTCCACAAATATAAAAAAAATGTAAAAAATGTTCTGTTCTGTGGATTTTTTTTCCTCTTCTTAAATCTGATGTCGACGCGTTTACTCCATCAAACAGTTCATCCATGTCTTTAATTAAATTACCCGTTGCCACTGCTCCAGTCGGCATGTCTCCTGAAAATTCACAATAAACAAATTAAATCAATATAAGTACAATATAATATGACAATATAATTATTAGATAGTTTCACCATTTATAAAAGAGACAACCCCACATTTTCATACTGTTGAAACGAATTTGTAAGACTTGTTGTTAAATGTGCATAAGTATCATGCATAATAATTATGATGTGTGTGTATAAATGAGTTGGACCATGACTATTAAAGATGTCTCTTACCTTTAGCTATTTTGGAAAATATTCCTGCTGCAACTGAGTGGCTTAAAACTTGTGCTGCAAGTTTTACCCTCATTTTTTGCTTGGTATTGGGGTCAACGTGTTCTTTAGTTAAGAGTGGTGCATAAACAAAATTGGGATTATTATTGTCCAGTTCATAGAATTGTCTGATGTGGCTCCATTTAGTGATTCCTGTAAAGTAATTATTAAAAGTAAAATTATTAAGTATAAACTACATACATATTATTAAACACTTTTTTTAAACTAAATAACAATGACTTACCAATTCCTTGTTTGTTGTCTGATGTTTTCACTTCTATATAGGGATTCTCTACAGAAGCTCCTAATAGACACAGAGCTTTCTTGTTGACTCCATCCAAGTCACAAACTGAAGCGCATATATTAAGGCCAGCATTAAAGCAACAATTTAAAACCTGAAATTTTTTTTAGGCAGATTATTAAAACCTTAGCTCATTTAACATAAGCATGATCATCATAGAATATAATAAAATTCATAAAAAAAAAAAAAAATTGTTTCATCATTCAAAATGAAAAAGTCTAAAATTCAGGCTGATGAATTCATGGGCAGTGCTAGTTGTACATTTATTTAAGACCAATAGGAGCGGAGCACCAATAAAGAATGTTTCAAAAACGGAGAAAATTTATTACTATTGAAAGACGCAGACGAAGTTGCGCAGGTCAGCTAGTTAAGTATAAACTACATACATAGTATTAAACACTTTTTTTAAACTAAATAACAATGACTTACCAATTCCTTGTTTGTTGTCTGATGTTATATTGGTCATAAACTTTACATCATATTTCATGAACAGATTTCTGAAGCACTTCAGCAAGTGTGGTGTGTCAAATAGCGTGACTACTTTGTGATTGCTCACTTCTATATAGGGATTCTCTACAGAAGCTCCTAATAGACACAGAGCTTTCTTGTTGACTCCATCCAAGTCACAAACTGAAGCGCATATATTAAGGCCAGCATTAAAGCAACAATTTAAAACCTGAAATTTTTTTAAGGCAGATTAGTAACTTAGCTTATTTAACATAGGCATGATCATCTTTTAAAATGAAGAAGAAATGCATACCTCCTTAATCAAAACAGATAGTCTGTCAGCTGTGACAAATCCACTTGATAGGTAATAAGCCACTGGCTGTTTAATTGGCTTCCTAACTCCAACCACCATAAATATAAGCGCATATGAAGCTGCCTGTGGAGATCTACCTTGTGTGGCATGGTCTTGAAAACCCTCCATTTGATCAGACTTAGAGTTGTACCATAAATTTTTTCTTAATGACATTTCATCCCACAACAATATGTACTCTCGTTCAGATGGCCCAAAGTGTTTTGTAATCTTTTTCAACATTGTAAGTGTTGTTTTGTGTATCCCCACATTCATCCTAAATCTGCTTAAGAGGGATTTTAATGTGCTGGGTGCTGGTAAACAAATCATTCTCCTCAATAACTTGTAGCATGTTGGTGACCTTTTATAGAGCCTCAATGCTATTATTTTAGCTTCCATGTTCCACCTGCGTCCAGGTTTCTTCCTCTTATAATTCTGCAGTTCTCCTTGCAGTAACAGGGCAAATGATGAACTCATTTTTTTATTGAGGATTTTTTTACTGTTTCATTGTTGGAGATTTCATTTAAAAATGCTTCATTTTTTAAATATTTTACAGTTTTTTGTAATCTATACACTTTGTTCATACTATTTTTCAGTTTCCTTATCAACATTTTGTTTTTCTTATCTCCTTCTTGTTTTGAAGACTCGCACACAATCATTCCTGAACAACTGGTTGGAGTGATAATGTTTGCATTATGTTCTCTTAAAGGATAAATTCTGGATGGACCGGCAACAGGTTCAAATATGGCAGGTTGATCTGGCAGATTAGAAATTGTTGTGTCCTGAAAATGAAAGGTTAACATATTTATTTTAAATAAATTAATTTAAATCCTTAAATTAATATAAGTCATAGTTGAGGTAAGCAAATTATATATATAAGAAATATTTATAACTAGCTTCTGCCCGCGGCTCCGCCCGCGTAAATGTCGGTCATCGCGGTAAAAATGCACTCCCTCCGCGTAAATGTCGGTTATCGCAGTAAAAAGTAGCATGTTTTTCCTCAAGAATCAAAGTTTCTACATACCAAATTCCATCTAAATTTATGACTCATTTTGCATGTTTGTAATTGCCCAAGTTTTCTTAAATTTATGTTAACAACATCATTCTGCTACATAATATTATGTGTTACACATAACATAAAGTCTGTATTTCTCTGCAATGTAAATAGCTTTAAATACACTTTTAAAGTATTAATTGTACTAACCTTATGGCATTGAACACCAGGTACAGCTGTTCTGAACAACTTCTTCTCAATAAAGCATGTGCTTTCAAAATGTTTGCTGCAAAGCATCTTATGTTTTGAATGGAGTTCATCCTGGAATTTTGGTGAAGACCAGGCTTTGTATGGAAAGCAATACTTTGCCCATAATTCACACCTGGAAATTAAAAAAAAAAATTAAAATTAAAAAATTAAATACGAAATTAAAATTAAAAAGGAAATTAAAATTATTTTATCTCATCTGCATTGCAATGATAAATGTCCAAATGCCCAGAGACTGACAATGAAAAATGCTAGTCAGAATAGAAAGACTTCTACTGATAACACTGCGGATGGCGACCCTTCAAAAAGGCGCAAATCTGACTATTCTATATGTATGGGTAACAGAGGCATCCATTGGTCTACATTCGTAGAGAACAGGGGAAGGTGTAAAGTTTGTAGCTTGAATAAGGTTCAGTCGAAACCTCATAGTAAATGTTCGCATTGCAACGTGTTTTTGTGTGTAAATGAGAAGAAAAATTGTTTTGTTGAATACCATGAGGTTAATCTGTAATTAAAAACCTAATAATTTAATTATTACTAAGTCAATATTGGATCTCATTATTTTGTAGTTTCTATCCAAGTTCCTAACATTGTGATAACACGAAGTTCCTGACGGCACTTTTAAGTCTAGGTCTTGGTAATAGTACTTCTAGGTATAATAAAAATCTAAAAAAAATCTGTGCGTTTCGTTTTACTTACCTTATTATGTAAATAAAGTTCAAAAGCGAAAATTTGTTAAAAATCACTACCCCGGGGGGAAAGGGTTAATAATCATATTTTTAATTAAGTTTTATCTAAATAACAATCTAAACTTTCTGTATTTCCTTTGATTGAAAGAGATTTAAAGGATGTAAACGAATAGCATGGAAAGTACTTAGGTAGGTACATACCGCAGAGCATTTTTTGAGCCAGGCTTAGGAAACCGATGCAAAGTGATGCTGGAATCTTTAGAAGGTGAAGATCCACACATGCAACAGATTCTAGTGTTTTCTTTCTGCGAACTCATTGCGAAAATTAAACACACAATCAAACAAGTCACTATCTCAACACCGAGTCTATATCTCACAAACACACACTTAATTTCACCAAAACACAGCCACGGAGGAGCAAACTCGACTCACGGTAACAATGTATGTAGAATTAAATGCAACTAGTTTATTTATTACAAATAAACATAGGTACAAGATAAAATGGTGCGGGAACCGCAGGCAGACATTTTTCTTGTGACGTCAAACGTGTTGCCAGTAGTTGCCACACATTTTCCCCCTTATCTTTTTTTTGTTTTTGTGTATTGATCAATTAAATATGTTATATTTCTTAGCAAAATAATTTTTTTGGGTATCAGAATAATCACAAAATGTATTTTTAAGGGTGACTTTCTTTTTTAGCTCATTGTTTTGGAGAAAACGAAATTGTAATTTTGGTGGCAACATTTTATAATTCATCTCTTTTACTCTAATGTTGTTGTCTCTTTCTTGTTTTCAAGCCCACCTACATCTTTTTCTAAGAACAAAGTTGACAGACCCTGATATATTTATTAGCGATGAGCCCCGGTATTGCACGGGTGCAATGTAGATACCTACTATGAACGTGGTGTTAGTGTGGGAGTAATTAAATTATACCATTAGTGTGATAAGACATCATCATATGCAATATAAAATATATAGGCCCGCTCTGCTCCTGCCGGCCCGGTTATTTATTGTTCAGTCCGATTATTATTCAACTTCAACTTTTGGTTTATGGCTTTGTGGTAGAGTGTAACCACAATTTCGAGAATGTCATGTATTTGAAAGACAAACTGTCAAAGGGATTATTATTCTACACGTATTTAATTTTTTAAACTTGTCAATATTGTCATGTCAACTATCAGTGTCAATATTGTCATTTCACTGTCTCGAGTTTTCGTTCTCGATTGTGTTGTGACAGTGTCACAGTGGTGAGTGGTGAGACAGGGGTTAGTTCCATAGATAAGTTAGTTCAACAAAACTTACATTGCATTGTTTTCAAGTATTTATTAACCCTAATAGACTTAATAACATAAGATCTATGCATAACATTATCTCAATAGAACCGGTCCGCTATAATTTATATCCTCTTTCAAGAAAACACCTAAAGAATTAGGTATTTTATTGTTATTTAATCAAATAGCAGTATCAGGAAATGGATTGGTGGTTCCCTATTATATGAAATAAGATTATTTCTTTTAAATAATTGTGAATTACTTTCGATAGTTTCTTTATGCTAAAACTTGCTGTTATTGTATGTTTATGTTTTAGGTATTAAGGTAAATGATAACAAATATTTTCTGATCTTTCCAGAAGTTACAAAATGGAAATTACAAAAATTTCTAATGCTATACGTTTCAAGCCTCTGTTGCCTGCTATTGTAAATGGAATATTGATTAAACGAAGGTAATTAAATGACTTAAAGATTTCTACATAATGACAATGATTTCATTTTTTGGACCTTAGGGGTACCATCACATCAGGGGTTCATCTACAGACCGTAGATAGCTCAAGAACCGTTGGGGTACAGGGATTTCCTTTCTAGGTTACACCTGGCTACTGGTGCCAGAGTCAACGACAGTTTTTAGTAAGTCCAAGGCTGACATAAAAACCTACCAGTTTTCCGGTGGGTGGTATCCAAGGATATCTGCACAGAAAAAAAGGGGCTTGTAGCATATTTAGTGAACTTAATTTTCAGATCTTTTTACTAATTGTTGATAGCAAACTCTATAAATATTCTTGACAGTTACAGTTATAGAAAATATTTATTCCAGTTTAACTTTTAGAATAGTTTATTATTATACTTAAAAGTTGACTTTTAATATTTTTGCCTTTGTTACGCCATCAGTTTTATAGGAAAATTGAAGTAATATTACTAATTCTGTTTATACATGCAAATAAAGAGGTTTTATTTCAACATTAATATGCAACAAATTGAATAATTTACCAATTTGTATATAAAACGGGTACAGGTGTTCTATGTGAAAGTGTATGATATAATGTTTCTCCATATTCCACCTTTAGAGTTGATCACATTGGCAGCTTAATAAATTGCTATGGTATTGTTTTCTCTTAATTTAAATTGTTTCTAAACATGTTTTGATAATTTTTTGATTTCATTGTTACAAGGCGTACCTTGTACACTTTAAAAGAACCTAAGTGAATAATGAGAATAAACAAATATGTATGGATAAAATCTATAGACATACCTTACATACATTTTATTTTAAACTAATGTGCCTAAACAATGCTAGTTACATAAGATTATAATAATGTTATGCAATGTTGTAGATAACAAAATCATGGTAATTAGAATACAGTTAAAATGTTACTTCTGTTAAGTGTAAAATCCTCTAATTGCACTGATTATAAGGTAATGTTGCTGTTAGAATAGTACTCAATAAGACTGCATGGCAATAAAATTCAGTAATATTTGTACATACAATTTCCAGTTCCTCAAATTCACAATCCTATGATGTAGCAGTTGTTGGTGGTGGCATAGTTGGATCAGCATCAGCTAGAGAAATACTTAAAAGACATCCTAATCTAAAACTAGCAATTATTGAAAAAGAAGATAGTTTTGCTGCCCACCAAAGTGGAAATAACAGTGGTGTGATTCACGCAGGTATTTACTACAAACCAGGCTCCTTAAAAGCTAAATTATGTGTAAAAGGGTTAGACCTGATGTACAAATTTTGTGAAGAGAAAGGTATAAAATATAAAAAAAGTGGCAAGTTAATCGCTGCTACATGTCAGCAGGAAATACCTCGGTTATTAGAGTTATATGACCGAGGTCAAAAAAATGGTGTAAAGGATATAAAGTTAGTTGATAGTAAAGGAATACAAGAGATTGAACCTCTCTGCAAGGGGATAAAAGGTATTTGGTCCCCACATACAGGAATTACGAATTATAGAGAAGTCACACAACATCTTGTTAAGGATATTGTTCAGTGTGGAGGAACCAAATATCTGAACTTTGAAGTAAAGAAGTTTTCAGAATCTGACAATCCGGATTTTCCAGTAAATATATCAGATGGAAAGAATAACTCTATAGCTGCAAAATATGTACTCACATGTTGTGGACTACATTCAGATACAGTAGCTGTGTTAAGTGGTTGTTCTCCTAATCCCAAGATAATACCATTCAGAGGTGAATATTTGTATTTAAAAGAAAATAAAAGTAATATGTGCAAAATCAACATATATCCTGTACCGGATCCAAGATTTCCCTTTTTAGGAGTTCATGTGACTCCTACAGTGGATGGACGCATCATTTTAGGGCCCAATGCAGTATTAGCATTAAGTAGAGAAGGATATAGGTAAGTAGTAAAAAAAAACTATTGTATTACATGTATTTTTAAAGTTTGACACTATTAAAAAAAAAAAATGCAATCTATTTTATCAATAGGATTAGTATATCTCAACAGAGGTTAAACAGAGGTCAAATTCTTCTGTTAAGACAATAAATTACTTGAATAACTACTCTTTCATAGTGTTACATAATATAAGATATGAGTAAACAAGTGTGATAAATATCATAAAAACATATATTTCAGTAACAACATTAATATTATAATTGATGAACATGTTGTTTCTTTACAGATGGACTGATGTAAATGTATCAGAATTAATGGGAATATTAAATTATTCTGGTTTTCGGCAATTAGCAATGAAATATACAGCTTTTGGGTTAAAAGAGATAGCTAAATCACTCATCACACCTCTTCAAATCAATGGTATACAGAGATTTATTAAAGGAATTCATTATAAAGATATTGAGATAGGACCATCTGGTGTAAGGGCACAAGCAATGGCTGAAGATGGTATGTACCTTATTCATATTAACTGGCTAGGCCTGTAGGCCGCTTGTTGAAAAATTTATTATTAAGTTCCAAAATGTTACCAATGTGTGCGTTACGCAGCAAAATAATGTCGAAAATGGTCATTTAAACTTTATAGATAATTAGTTGCTCCCCTTCTGTAATTGTTAGGCACATTTTTAAATTTGTTTCACTTAAACTTTTTTAGTTATTTCAAAAAAACATTTCCTGCTGGGGTAACGTTTGAAACGTTACCGCAGCCAGACATTTTCTTTTTTAATTGTAATATTGAAATAAATTTTAGCTAGAGAATTAGTTATCTGGACTAGGTAAATGTTACAACTTATTTGGTATTTGTATTTTCTTCGGGTGCGAAGTTATTCGAAATCCTGCTGGAGTAACGTTTGTGGGTTTGCTGGATCTCTGAAACGGGTAAGCGGATTGTAACCATCTTTTGTACATAACTTCTTAAGGATTAGTTTAAATTTGTTCGACAATAAAATAACAAAAATAATGGACCGTTTAAAAATTATTTAGGTAAGTATGAAAACACTTCAATACGTCCTAACACTTTAAATAAGACCTCTAAAGACTTACTTGAAACGTTATTCTATTGCTTGTAACTACCTTCAAATGTATACGAATTTTCGTAAGAATACTGTAAGTGACTAAAAAGTTATGATGAAATGTAGCTCTCCACGTTCACGATCACAATGTGTGCGGCCTTTTTTGGCCACCGATAAACCTGTGTGTGGATATATAAACTAAATGTTATGCCAATAATTAGTTGTTTAGTTCAGTTGTCTACCTGTAGAATTTCAGCGTCGTACATATAATAATTTACGAGATAATTAAATAAAAGTCATTAGAAGGTGCAAGTCCGTGGTAATTCGACCATGTTTAGGTGGTTACAAAAAAGCGATCACCCAGTACATTGCGCTGTCTTTTAAAATGTTTAGTGTAATACACCTTACGATTTCGGTACAGTTGCGTACAGTGTTAAATACATTCAATATTTATTCATTATTATTACCTATTATTTATTTTGTTTTTTTCCCTAATTGATCTTAAGCACTAGTTTCTTTACTTAAAATTTCTTTAGTCTTTTTTACTACCGGAGCTACAATCAACAGAAAATCTGCACTGGTCCGCTAAAATTATAAATATGTAAATACATGTATGAACGATTCACCTGACTGCAATAAATCCAAAATTTAAACCAATAAGAAATCGTTTCATTTCTTTGATTTTTTTTGTAAAGAAATAACACTAAAGTAAATGTATTTTATTTTGGGGTGTATAGAGCTTAGACTTGAATGCATCAAAATATTTAAAGCAACAAGTCATCTACAATAAGTTAAAATAGACCGAATAGTAGAAGAATACAGTTGTAAATTAGAATGCATCAACATTGCATCGCCCAACAGTCGTATACCTCGTAAGAGTAGGTAATATTGTTCTGTGGTCTATACCGAGAACCGAGAATTATCTATACCTATGTACCTACCGTTAAGCGTTGAGCCCGTGACTGTTGATTTCTGTTAAAAACGAACAGTTGTTGAATGATATTTTGATACAATAACGGTAATTTAATTAGTCGAGTGAAAGTGATACATTTTTATAGATAAAATTATTGGTCAGATAATATTTGTCAATCAAGAATCGCTGATAATACATCCTTCGCTAGAACGCGGGAGGGGAGGGGCGAAGGGATACTTCATTGTTTGCAATTTGCATCTAGTGCACTAAACTTGACCCAGATTAGGCAGATAATATACGTGTTGTAAAGTACGTGTGCGCTTCCGCTTTCTATTTTTGCAAATATTTATCGTATTCTTGAGAGTTCTTCAATATGTGTGTACTTAATTACTAATAATGGGCATTAATGCTAATTCGATTCAATTTAAGTAATTGTCAATTCTTGTCTTAGGATATTAATTACTAATGCTAATATTGAAATTTCGTTCAGGGTGAACAAATTAAAAACGATCATAACTTGTAGGTAGGTATATCACTTATTACTAATTTTACATAAATAATTTATTTTATTATCATTTAACTCACCGCGATTTTGTGATCAAATATTTTATTTTCTCCAAAATTATTACAGAAATATTGCAATACAGAGTTTGTTCGCGATATGCTAGCCTAAGTCGATTCATCACTTAAAAAAATCCCCATCTATTCACAAAATACCTATTTACAACGCATACGTCACACTCTTCACTGTATCACTTTCACTCGATTAATTAAATTACTTAAATTACCTATACCTACCCTAAAATTAAACTTCAATTAACAAATGCTACGCAGGTACCAATTCTATGAACAACTATAAACAATTCACCTAAACATTACGAGAAAACAAAAGCATTCAAAACAATAGCTAATCTCCCGGCTGATTACTAATTATGCAATAAACAATCCTAAATAAAAATTATTTAAAAAACATGTAGTTTTTTGTAACACTTATGTACATATCCGTAGTAAACTTGCAAATAATATCCTACATATTTTAAAAGCCAGCACTATGTACTGGGTGATCGCTTTTTTGTAACCACCTAAACATGGTCGGGTTACCACGGTCTTGCACCTTCAAATGACTTTTATTTAATTTTCTCGTAAATTATTATATGTACTACGCTGAAATTTTACAGGTAGACAACTGAACTAAACAACTAATTATTGGCATAACATTCAGTTTATATATCCACACACAGGTTTATCGGTGGCCAAAAAAGGCCGCACACATTGTGATCGTGAACGTGGAGAGCTACATTTCATCATAACTTTTTAGTCACTAACAGTATTCTTACGAAAATTCGTATACATTTGAAGGTAGTTACAAGCAATAGAATAACGTTTGAAGTAAGTCTTTAGAGGTCTTATTTAAAGTGTTAGGACGTATTAAAGTGTTTTCATACTTACCTAAATAATTTTTAAACGGTCCATTCTTTTTGTGATTTTATTGTCGAACAAATTAAAACTAATCCTTAAGAAGTTATGTACAAAAGATGGTTACAATCCGCTTACCCGTTTCAGAGATCCAGCAAACCCACAAACGTTACTCCAGCAGGATTTCGAATAACTTCGCAGCCGAAGAAAATACAAATACCAAATAAGTTGTAACATTTACCTAGTCCAGATAACTAATTCTCTAGCTAAAATTTATTTCAATATTACAATTAAAAAAGAAAATGTCTGGCTGCGGTAACGTTTCAAACGTTACCCCAGCAGGAAATGTTTTTTTGAAATAACTAAAAAAGTTTAAGTGAAACAAATTTAAAAATGTGCCTAACAATTACAGAAGGGGAGCAACTAATTATCTATAAAGTTTAAATGACCATTTTCGACATTATTTTGCTGGGGTAACGCACACGTTACCAATGCCTTTTTATACCTATAATGAGAAGTGTTTTATAACAGTGATCATAGAAGAATCACAAATCCTATTGTTATCAGATTAAATCTTAAAGTTTGCTATGTAGGTATGCTATAGCAAAAAGCTTAGAATGTCGGGAAAAAGGGGGGTTGGGAATGGAAGTTCAAAACAAACATATTGAATGGGCAACCTTAAATATTGCCCTTACTTTATTATTAAACTATAGAAAATTGAGGAAATGCTACAAACAAATCAGCAAAATTAATCAATGGTGGTAATTCTGTTGTTCGAAAACTCTCTAAACTAAACTAAAAATTTGTTGAGTTCTGTCAAAAAACGTTTCCTGTTCTGAAAACGTAATATTTGACAGGACAATATTTTTTTTTAGTGATTTTTAGTTTAGTTTAAAGAGTTTTCGAACAACAGAATTAGCACCAATATAATTCAAATCACAAAAAAAACTGAGTAGATGCTTGCTGTGTAAATATGACATGTATATAGTACAGTAAAACGTTAGAAAATCTGAAGTGCATATTAAATTATTGCTTCCAGGAACTCTCATAGAAGACTTTGTATTTGATTCTCAACCTGGATCTGGTACAGTAGGAAGCAGAGTGCTCCATTGCAGAAATGCACCATCCCCGGGGGCAACTTCGTCCCTAGCCATAGCTATGATGATAGCGGATAAGATGGAAAGTCAATTTAAGTTATAATAAGTAAAAATTTTACAATATTATTTAGTAAGGGTCCTAGTATAGATAAAACAGAAACAAATGTTTTAAGCTATTTTTATATTTATGGAATCTGAAGTATTTAAACCGACTGTTTTGCAAAATGAACAGTAGGTACACAGAATGTGGAATTCGCATAAAGTCCATTCAAGTGTCTACGAAATAAGTAGAAAAAAAAACATTAGCATAAACAAATATATATGAAAATTAAGTGTTTTCGTTGATTAAGTAGAATATTTTTTCCTTATCTCTTCAGACATTGTTTTTATAAGTTAATATATGAGTCGTCTAATTTAAAAACATTTAAAATATTTTTTTCAAATTCGAGGTAGTCTATCAGTGTAAAAGTGCTCTTTTGTTAGTATGTAAATCCGACTGTTAGCTGCAAAGTACTCTAAAAACGGATATTGTGAGTTTCAAATTCCTCTATAACAAATCCAAACAATGGCCGCTCGACATTTAGGTCACGTAATAAGTTTATTAGTATGGTGGCGAAGACCAAGTCAAGTTAGTTTCGTTTCTAATTCCACGATTTCACAAAAGTTGCTTGCAAACGCCTCTAGAACATATAGTTGCAAAACCCTCTAAAGCAAAACTTAAAACTTGTTTTTTTAGATTATTTTGTAGTAACGGTTGAAATTTTTACCTATAATAACGTACCTCTATACTTCAGTGCGATAGATAAAATTAAAATAATCCATAAAAATTTTTTGTTTCTGGATTTTTTGCTTAATTATTTTAGAGGAATTTGAAACCAGACGACTCGTATATTAATTATAAGGTTATTGCCATGTAATGCTATGTAGGTATACAACCTGTCGGTTAGGCTATCAAATTAGTTTACACAATAGATAATACGGTTCAATATACGTCGGTTAAAATAAAAAGGGTGTACGAAAATACAGAAATGCAAGTTTAGAACAAAATAAATACAGTGAAATAATTCCGAATTAGAACACCGTTGTTAACATGACTCGCTTAACTGTAGATGAAATCCCCTGTATATTATATACGTGTAAGGATACTAAACTTAATAAAAATAATTCACTTTGTCATCTTATGTATCAGGGCTCTTATAAACTAACGATGCGTTCAGTCCTTCACCGTTGCCAAAGATGACAGACGACATTGAGGTTGGTCATTTAATAACTTTATTTGATGAGTGTCTCGATAACTTTATTTGATGACTGCACTTTTGTTCCATAGTACGGGACGCTCCAGAAGAATTCAAAGAAAAAAATAAAAACACGTGTTGTGAATTTTTAGGGTGCTCGTCCTAGATTTCCACGATATGACGATAGATAAGCAATGCATTTGATGTTTTATTTTATAGTTGTTATAACTTATGTAAATTATGGAGGTAACTATTTTAAATAAATGTAGTAACTAAGAAATTTTATAATATCCCAACGTTATGTTTTATTTTTTCAGTTAAATGTATATAAAGTTGTTTTTAGATTATATTGCAACACGAAAAACTCTGTATTAATTGCAATTATTCTATCAGTCTTTATCTGTATATACGAACCAACCAACCAACTAGGGGCCATTGACGGTGTTTTACGTCTTTCGGAATGTAGTCTCAATTTTTTTATATCCATATTATTATTTATATTTCACTTTATTATCTAACATATTGTATAACTTATATTGTAGTGTTATATGTGTGCGTTACGACAGCAAAATATTGTCTCCTTTAATAGTTTGAATGATACAGATAATTAGAGCCCTTTATTGTATAAATGTGCCCAATTTGTTAATATTCGATACTATCGATTAACTGACTAAATTGCAAATAGTAGTTTTCGAGATCTGGCCACCAGCAAAACGTTACCCCAGCAAAAACTAAAGTAGCATGGACATCATAAAAGGGCTCGAATTTTGTTTTTTCACGCACACATTTAGTTTAAGTTATAAGCTATGAATCTGGTTACTTTAAATTCAGCTAAGTCCGAATTTCGTTACTCCAGCAAAATCTTATGTTCGTACTGCAAAGCGGTCAGGGATACATATTTAATAAGCTGGGCACATATTACAATGTAGGGCTCTATCTGTATCATTCAAACTATACTTGTATCATAAGAATATAATCATTTTTTACGAAACCATATGGTAGTCTCTTAAGTAATTACAAAGCTAAGTATAACAATCTAAAACTTTAAATAACTTACAAAAAAGTTTGTCTGAAATAGGTAATAAAATTGTCACAGGCTGATTTCACGATGTTTATGCATGGGAAATGCATATACTGGTCAATCTCAATTAGTTAAGAATGCCAATATAAAGTTTGTGTATCTTTTATGTAAATAAATTATTTATTATTATTTCTAAATTTCCTTTTTGTTTACAACATATTAAGATATATAAATACAAGTATTTTGAAGGCACATATGTAAGCACTTAAAATGTGATGCAATTATAGTCAAAGGGTGAAATAAAACAAATGGGATGTAAATAAAAACTTTTTATAAAACAAGTTTATGAATCTTAACTCCACAAACCATTTATATTTTTTATTATATTTATTTAAAAGACTGTACAACTTGTATATATATATGTAAAATGCAAAAACCTGTACCAACAACAATGTTGTGTTGTTATATTTTTATTCTACTTGAAGTCCTTTGCTAGTTACACACATGAAATTGAACTGGAGATCATATGCTGTTGTTAAATGGAATAGAACATTGCTGATGACCACTATATATTCTGCTAAACCAAACATAGAATACACTGAAAATAAAAAAAGGGTATATTATTATTTAAATTAGTTTTTACATATGTAGTGGAAACTGATTATTACATTTCATAACTTCAAATATAATTTACTAAATTAATTTTTGACATCTCTGTTAACCATCCTGCACTTTATATAACACTTGTCAAAGGAAAAAAGGGCAAACTGAGTATTTACAAAAAGATATATAAATGCACTTCTAATTATCTGTTCTTGAATGGCAAGTAGACAACAGGTTAGAGATGTAGATCTAGCAAGCAGTATCTGACATATAAATTTATTTATTCTGAAAAAATAAATGCAATATACATCCAGCATTGTACAAATTAGTATGGAAGTTACTCAGTATGAATATAATAATATGTATGCATGTGTGAAGTATGAATGTATGTGCATGCAATTTATACATATTATAACACTATACAAAGGTAAAAAGGATTTACTTATACTCTGCTACAATCCTAATTTTACTAAACTCATAAATTGCTCAAAAATGAGTCTGCTGAAGTATTTGTATGCTCAAACCATAAGCTGTAACCATACAATGAAGTAATGGTTTTCAATTACAATGAATTATCTTTGTAGGTATAGGTTAGCAGATATTCATCAGCACAGTAGATATTTAATTGATTACAAATTAGATTTTTCCTTTAGATTGATTGATAATTCTTTCTTGTTTAATGCAAAACTGGTTGATGTTACCACTTTGTTTTTAATTATGCACCAAAATAGTAGTTATTTTTTCCGATTTTATTTTTACTAAATTGTAATTGATATAATCATCAATAACATTATTTTTACAAATTATCGCACCATTTATTTTAATAGTTCTATGATAAAGTAAGAGAAGGAAAACTTGACACAAACACTATACTAACCAGTCTCGCCTGCATGGTATAGTAGGCCAAAATCTTCTTTCTAAGAAAAGGCCTATGTCCAGCAGTGTACTGTAGCTGTAAAACAGTAAATACTGTTGGTGATGATGAAGATGATAAAACAATACTATTTGTAAACATTAAGTTGATGATAACTTAAGTTTCACAAAATAATGATTTAAAAAGTCTACACAAGTTGAAGAATGATTTAAGAAGTAAATGGCATAAATAATTAAAACTTGTAGATAACTTGTAACTTGTACTTACCATAAGGCTCACATAGACTGTTATGCCGCAAGAAGAAATAGGCAGCAAAGACAAAGGAAGTTACATTTGTAATGAATGCTCGCCATTTTAATTTTACAGAGCGTTGCTCCCTGGATGTAATATTAGGTCTTCTTCTATACTTAGTAAGCAATATGCATATAAATAGCATATAGAATACTGAAGTACCAATGAATGTCTTGAAGCATAACTCATGGTACTCTGCAAAAAGGATTGTTAGTAGGTACTGTAAATTGAAAAGAAACATCCTGTAGCCATAACATTTTCAATCAGACTTACTGTAATTCTGAGATGAAGTCCAATGGGTCAACCCAATTAAAGTTAAGTTTTCTATAACATTTAAAAATACTGCTAAATTGACAATAATAAGGCAGCCATTCTGAATGATACTTGTAAAATATTTATATCTTAAATACACTATGTAGAATCGGACAGGCGCGTGACAGTATATTGCTGTTTTCCATAACGTACTCTGTGGCTCATACGTTCCTATAGATGCTGAAATTGATGGGAATATATTAGGAACTTTACAATGTGTATGGTTGGCGCTTTCAAAATCCTTATACATTGTTATCAATACACATGTTATGAACGCATATAATGGTACTGCCACTGCTGAGAAACATATTTTGAATGGTATTTTGATATAATATTTCTTTTCAGGTACATTGTGGAGGGGCAGATACATTGAGTTAAGTAAATAAAAACTTCATGAATTAAACAAATAAACTTTGGCTACTACTGTATAACTTTCAAGACGTCTCAATTGAGACTATTTGAGACTGTTCATGAGTGTTGACATTTGGCATTGTGTCATTGACTGACAGTAGTGACAGTAGACATCAGATATTTTGTCGTGCTGTCATGTCAGCAATTGGCAATACTCTGCCTAAACTAAAACATGATACCTATACTTATACATTCTTCTTTAACAGTTAAACATGAAATAAAGTGTTGGCCATAAATGGTATATGAGTAAGTATTGTGTAAAATATATATGGTGTAAAATAAGGCTTTTACATTTAGACAGTTAAGACGGAATGTTTGTTATGAACTGCATGTAAAGGAGTGTTGGATACGTTTCGTTATTTTATCAATAATTTCATAGCAACTATTTGTTATAATTTATTTTGGTGTCATGTCTTTAATAAACAACAGAGCGTATTGATTCCATATTCTATCGTTATATAAGTGATAGAGCATGGAGAATATTTTAAATAAAAATATATTTGATGAACGTGACTTGAAGAAACTGTCTCCGGAATATACACCCCATAATGTTGTATTACGGATGCAGATGAGAAGAGCGTTGGTAAGTTAACAATTTTATGATATGTTGAAGTCAGCAAAGCTAACTTAACTTTAAGCTACTCAGTATACGTTAAAAGGACATCTTAGTCAAGGCATCTACCACAGAAATAACTCTATATTGATCACTGCAATCAGGTATCTAAGACAATTGACCGTCAATTTTGTTATTGTTGCTGGAATCACAGAGTACGCTGGAATTGTGCTTCTCTCTAAATTGTGTATCAATTCATATAGGTATATGTTTAAATTACAGGTAAAAGACACTCATAACCATCGTATCCATAGAAGTACTACTTGGACAAGGTATGAAGTAATTGTAGAAAGCAAACATTTTCAGTAATACTATAATCTACTCACTAACTTCTGAATAAACTTTTATACACTTAAGTATAACTACCAAATCGTCTACTCTAAATTTATAGGTACTGTATTATATATACATAGATAAGGTAGGAATACTGTAACATCTCCTTTGTATGATGGGGCGATATGTAGAGTTGTGTACCGGGACTTAATCGCGATAATTGTCATCATAATTATCTTTTTGCCATACTTACACGGTGCAATGGATACTTTGTAAAGTGTTTTTGGCTAGTTCTCTATTTAGCCGGTCACCAGCCTGACGCCGACCCTTCTTGAGAATGTAATCCTGTTCAGATGGGACAAAGGATGAAGGTAAATAAATTATGATTATAAGGCGAAGGAGCTAGAGTAAAAGATAAAGTTTCGGATGGAAACGGGCCTGAATTATTAGTTTTTTATTGTGTTGATCTGTTTTTTTTTATGGTAGTTATAGAGGGCAGACGGGTAGAAGGATCATCTAATGACTACCGCCACCCATTGACACCTGCAACTCCAGAAATAAAAGTGTGTCGACGATTGGGTTTGGGATTGGGATTGGAAAATGGTATCACTGTCCGGTCGAGCCGGGCAAATGTGACGGCGCTCCCACGCCAAAAAACATAACACCGCGATACCGGCAATGAATGAATGAAAACATTAATTTCAACTTCATCTCTTTAGCTTTAATACGTGAAATTAATACTTACCTATATCTATTTTACATTTTGATTGATGATTTCAGTATAGGTATCTTTCATTATAGCTTCGAAGTCAAAACGTTTCTTTAAGATTTTCTTCTTTTGACTTCGAGAGTAGGTAGGTACATATTGTGTTATAAATTTTAATTAATATTTTCCTAGATTGTATTTTACGCCCGGAAACAAGGTGGCCCCGGAAACAAACAATGTATGCTTTTAAAAAAAAATAAAAAAAATCTATTAATTATGATTTTAGAGAATCTATTAAGAAAAATAAAAACAGCTATAATATTAATAAGGAAATTGTGAAATTGCGCCACAGCTTTAACAATATTAATTTAAAGAATCGACTAACTTTAAAAGGCCCGGATACACTAAAAATAAAATCTGAAACTTATGACGAAAAGCTATTGATGACCGATAGTATGGAATCAAAATTACAAAATGAAGTTGGGGAATATATATTATTACCTGAATTACCTGATGAAAATGAATTGGAAATACGAAATGATAATGAATTCAAATTAAATACGAAAATGAAACCTAAACGCATTAGGTTCTCTAAAGAAACTCCAAAAGATAGAAAATTGAAAATGTTGAAAGGTGAATTGATAGGTCTGAATAAAGATATAAATGAAAACAATGAAGATATGTTTAGAGTGGCATGTACCCATAAGCTCGAGGATCCTCTGAAAAATGAAGAGCACGAGAAAACACCAAGCAAAAGTGATTACAAAGATTCGGTTCTACTCTCACCCAGGCCTGTTGGTGACTTACAAAAACTATTGGTTATGATGGCCCTTACTTCTAAACCCACTAAAGATGACGAAGAAAACGATGAAAATAATATCAGTAATGGCGAAACACCTAGAAATGAATTGTGTTATTACAACTTTGTTGAAAAAGAAAATATGGTGTCAAACAGTGGAAATTGCGAAGGAATCGATAATATTTTAAGTATAACACCTTTAAAAGTAAAAATTAGAGATAAGGAAAAATTTATTATGGAGAAATACGTAGAAAAGTGGAAGAATTATGTAAATAAGAGAAAAAAGTATATGGAAGAGCAAAGGCAAGCAACTTTAAATAGCTTTTTAGATAAGATTGCAAAGAAAAAGATGGACATACACCAATCACATGAACTTCAAAATAAAGCTCATCAGCATCTTAGAGATTACAATACTTATCAACATAGGTAAGTTTTACTCATCTTAAGTAGTACCTTGAACGAATTACGAAACGAAACGAAAAACGAACGTGTTATAATGTTAATTAATTCTGAATTCCTGCCATTTATTTTCAAACTTTATTAATTTCATGTATGAAAAATAGAAAACCATTAAAGAGTAAAAAAAATCTTTTTACAAAAGAGTTGACAAATTTCTTAACAATCACGTTCCTAAAAGTTGTTATTAATAGGATTACTGTCGAATTTTAGGTATAAGGTACAAAAACACATAATTGCTCTACAAAAAGCAAAACTTGAGGAACAAAATCGGTTAATCGAAGAATTAAAGTACAATAAGATTATAGACGCTTCACGACAATCTGTGGATGATATGAGAGAAGAAGTACGCAGAACTTATTATGAAATAGATCGTCAGTTAAAACCTAGAATAAAAACCTTGACTAAGGAGTTGAAGATCACTGACATTGAAGGTAAGTAGATTATTTGTTTTAGGATAAAGTTTACAGTTTGACTCACGTGTCTTGGCGACAGTACCTATTATGTGTAGAGGCACGATACTTCACTAGGTACTTGAAATAGGAACCGAAACACCCGCGTGTCTAATAAGTAATTTTAATATTTGAAGCTTTTAATTACTTTTGGAAACCACTTACGGAAGTTTTAATTCTAGAATAAGCAAAACTGGAATTGTAAATATTAGGGTGGCTAAAGGTTTATTTGTATTGTTAGAGCCGGCTCTCGTACTACATTGTCTCAAAATGCCACAGTTTTTGCAAAGGATGGAGAAAAGAGCTCGTGAGCGGGAAGAAAAGCATGCTATGATTCGCGAGAGAAGGCGCCAGATGGAAGAAGACCGCATTAGAATAAAACAACAAGTGGGTATTATACGAGTGATTCATAACAATCATGTGTTTGTTGTGATTTAATCAACTAACTTTTATTCCTTTGAATTTAAGATGGAATTGGCAAAAGCCGAAATGGATAAAGAGGAAAAAGTGAGACGAATGAAAGAATTGAAGGAAAAGAGGAAAAGAGAAAGAATTGAGACCATACGGAAGAAACAGTGGGCTGAACGGTTGCGAGGACTTATTGTAATGGCGGACTTGCATTATGAGAAAACCTTGGTGTTCAAATATGGTATTGCTCCATTACGAAAATTGATAGAAATCAAACGAGACAGCATGGAAAAAGCGAGAGCGCATTATAGATTTCAGCTTAAGAAAAATGTATTTTTTCACTGGATGTGGTATACCGAAGACATGTGGTACGAAAGAAATTTTAAGGCTGAAAACTTTTACCGAAAAACATTGTTACGTAAAACCTTCAAAGGTTTTAAAATGGTTTGTATCACACAAATTTTCTTGATCTAGTATTTAACGTGTTCTTTTTAGGGTTCAGTACGTCAAGAGAAAAAAAAAAACGAGACCTTTATAGAATCACTTTGTTGTCCGTCTCTCTGTCCGTCCGTTCATCTATCTGTCAAGGCCTTTTATCTCGGGAACGCGTGGAGGTATCGAGTACAAATTAAAACCATATAGTCAAGTCTACAGTCCCTTGAATCTGTGAAAAAAAACAAACTTCTAAGTTAACGTAAAAAAAAGACACGGTCGTTTATATCGCAATAAACGCATATTTCGACACTCTCAAGGGAACCAAAATTCCCACTTCGCCCCGCTCCGTACCATGGTCGCAATCACCGGCGTTGGCTCTTTGCGGATCAGACACAGGTGACCTCCAAAGCATTCTTTGCGTCAGCCAATATCTGAGGGTCTCGTGTTATCAAGACAGTCCTCCATAACGCGTCTTACCGTCGCAATAACAGTAAAACTTTCGCCCGGTATAGGACATTTGCGAATCCCGCGCCTGCATCTTGAGTGATAAAAATTATACATACTTACTTACGTTTAATAAAGTAATTCGAGCCTATAAACATTTGCATTTATTTTTGTATACCAATCAATAGATGTTACTATGATGAGATAAAAATATATTAGACATGCAAATTATCAATAAGATTCGTTTTCGTTTCGATTTCTGTTTTTGCCGCCTCCTTGAAAATTCCGTCCATGTGCGGTGCACGCTCAGCACACCTGTACCCGGCTGCCTCGAGGCAGCTCTTTTCAAACTCCACGCGAACGAAGTCGCGGGTACCAGCTAGTTATTTTATAAATGGTTTTAAATTGGATAGAATTCGTAGTCACCTAATTTACAGTTAGTTTAGATAATTGTTTTTAATCCGTTTTTGCAGATGAGCTGTAAAACTATTTTATTACATTTTTTTGTATTCAGATTCACCATAAGGTAATTCTGAAGAATCAAGTGGCTGACGACTACTACGATTTATACGTAACACACCTGGGTTTTAGAATGTTACGAGAAGGCCTAATGGCAATCAGGAAGGAACAGGAGTCTAAATGGCAAAAAGCAGTCAATTATCATAACAGGTAAAAAATATTTTAAAACGTTTTCATGGAAAATCATATCAATCATAATAAGCAACAAATCTTTGGTTTGTTAGTTTCAAAATTCATAAAATTTACCTCGTTGTCTCAATAAATTCTGCCTGCTAATGTTAAGTGGCCGTGTGGGATTAGGAATACGGAATGTCACCACCCCAATTAAACCCGTAGGTCTCGCAAGAGCCAAACACAACAACAAACTACACAGGCAACCAGTAGGTATTGTAAATGTCATTATTAGTAGGTACATAATAGTTTAGGTACTTAGCAGTCAGGATTCAAATTTACTTTTTTATTTATGAATACTGTCACAAATATCACGAAAATTCGAGAAAAAAGACAGAGTTCAATTAACCGTCCTTGAAATAGTTCCAATAATGCAGGGTAGCACAGAACAATAAGTTTTACATTGATACGCATAAGATCGAAAATAGATTGTCGCTCGATTTTCTTGTTTACATTCAAAAAGGTATTTGTATTTTCGAAAACAGAAGTTTCTTATAAATTACTTATTTTATCAATCGCTACTATCAAATTTCTGCCCCGGTTCGAAAAAATCGAGGATCGGGGCTGCTATTATTCGTCGTCAGAAGGTATATTATTCCAAATCAACAAACCCTAACACGTAGCAATACCAATAAAGACCGTTTATACACATACATTACATTAAGATTTATGCTTAACCCATTAAAGGTCAAATGAAAAGTACCGATGTTTTTTTTTTAATTATCTTTATTTTTATATTCAAATAAGTACACAGAAACACAAAACGAAAGAAAAAAATGGAAAAAATTAGATTTCATAAAATTTCAGGGGTCGAGTACAGCAACATTATATGACTGTAGTTTTATTTTAGTAATGAATCATTGATTGTATTGTTTATTATAACTTACTCTGACATTTATTTTATACTAATGAAATAAAAAAAATAACTTATAAACAGAAATAACTTTAAAAAATCTCATATCATTTACTTACCTCCCCGGTGTTTCGGTGACACTACTTCAACTGACACTTTTTGGCAAAAATAATCACAATACCAGCGTAATACTTTTCAATATACGTGAACAGTATTATAATAAAATAAAATAACAAAGTAGGCCCCTTTAATTTTACAAGTGTTGAATTGAAATTCAAAAAAAAATGGCTGTACTCAATTGAGTACAGTGACTTCTAATGGGTTAATCGCTTGTCTGCTTCATGTGGTGCATATTGTTACAGCAATCTGCTATTCAAATCATTTACGTGCTGGAGGACTTTGCCAGCTCTCAATGCCTTAAAAAGGGAACAGGACGCCAGGAAAAAAAGATGGAGAGAAAAAGTGCTGCAAGTAGTTCCAGATTACTCGCCGCCGGACGATTAAGTTCAATTAAAAGTCGCCAATACGATACGGCACGATCTTTATTAAAATAAAGTACAAAAGTTCCAAGAAAGGTTTGATGTCATCGTAACTATAGACATATTTCTACTTATTGTTATGTTTAAAATTGTACACTGTAGACTGTAATCATAGAAATCGTAACAATAAAACATGTGTGTCTTATTATTACGATTTCTGTGACTGTAATCGTTAATTTCAAATCTCGTATTTAAACTTAATTTCTTATAGTTTAATTCTATAACTTTACTTACCTTATATACTTAAATGAGCCATGTAAATAAACACATGAGTACCTAAAGCCTTTCTAAAATTAGGGCACCGTCACAATTTTAGAAAGCTGTTTGGGCCACCGATAAAAAGTTCACGATTTTTTGTAATTCTAATATAAATGTAAAATAACTTTGTTTGATATTTTTCATATCTAAACCTACTATTCCAACCATAGTGAAATGGAGTAAATGGCATAGAGTACCTTTAATCCTTGGGCGCACCAAGGATTAAATACTGGGCGTTAAGAAAGCGCTATCAAAATGACAAACGGTATTTTTTAGGCGCTGAACGCGCAAAGCTGTGGAAATATATACATAGAAATACACACTTTGTGAAAATTACTATTGCCATTTATTTACATGATATAAAACCTGTGTACAGACAGAGAACAGGACTTAGTAGTAGGATTAACTCAAATATTGTAAAATAATATTAACTAAAATAATACAACTTCCTTTTTTTAACAACACACCAAGAGAAGCTTTGTTGTGGGTCCGATGGAGGGTATCCCAGGATTTTTGCATTAGGTTTTTTTTTGGTAATCTAGCAGTAGTGACTACCGTCGCCCATGGCCACATGCAAATCAAAAGACTAAAGTGCAATGAATGCCTACGTTTGCCCCCTTCCCATAGAATACCCTTTGGCCTTTAATGTCAATCACTGTGAAAAGCAAAGAAAGAATTGCAGAAAACACCGGTTTTCTGTCAGGCTTTGTCGAGTCGAGTACAGTACTTACGTCCCATAGGTGCCAAGTCATGGCTTTCCCATTGTGATATACGGCTATTAAAGCGAAATAAAACATAGGAGTAAATTGTAGTAGGGATTTCTTTCCTAGGGTACACCTGGTTCCCCGTTTACTGTCTGCCGTACCTGAGACGGCGTGCGGTTTATAGTCGATTAGAATCCGACATTACCACTGGTGTGGTATAAATAGAAATCGTAATAACGACGATTTCTGTGGTTATCCTAGAGGATTTCCGCACAGAAAAACAGGTGTAAATAAATTTTGCTTATTTAGTTTTCTGTCTATACTTTATTAATACTTTTTTAGATTTAATCTTAAAAAATCTAATAAGTATACAATAATCTGATTAACAATTTTAATCAGTTTTATTTAAAATACCATTTTTAATTACAAGAAATGGTGGCCAGATGGAGGGAACCCCATATTTTATGGGGTTCCCTCCATCTGGCAGAATCTTGATGCTCTGAAATTTATTTCGCATAACACACTTGGCAGAAACTTCTTTAAACGAATATGTTTAAGGCAAAAAATATTGAGTATAATTAATGTTCGGCCGAATGTTTAACTCCGAATTTACAATGGCATACTCGTACTTTTAAGATGGCATAATTTTATTTACCTTTGGCAGAGTTAAAATGCCGCATAATTTCGTTTAGCATAACGTTTATTTAGAGTGACGATCATTTGGTACAATTTCACTTGGCATATTATAAAGATAGCAGAATTTCACTTGGAATATTTTTTTTAGGCATATTGCCATAAAATAGCATTTTTACAAAAGTTTGAGACAGAGAGCTGGAGCGATGGTGAACGTTGAATTCATCTGCGACGATAAGCTCGTGTGGGACCGCCAGAACTCCGCAGCGCCGGCGCCGTGACAGATATGCTGCATGCTGCATTCTTGCTTGCCTGCATGCTGCATGCTTGCCTGCATTCCTGCTTGTATGCTGCGTGCTTGCCTGCATGAATATGGTGTATGCTTGTTTGCATGTTTCTTATAGGGAAATACGAGTAAAAGCCCAAATCCATCGCGAAAAAATATATGTGTTCAATCAATCAATTTTAATTTTATGGTAAGAAATACAAAATTATGGACAGATAGTCTTTCAGTTGTTATAGATATGAAATATATGCCAAAAGATGTTTCTCACTGTAAACTTTCTGAGATATGATAGTTTTGCCTTTTAATGACCATCGATATGAAATTTATGCTCAAAGACGATTCTGACTATGAACTTTCGGCGATATGATAGTTCTACTTTTTAATTATCATGGATATGAAGTTTATGCCTTAAGATGTTTATGACTTACAGAATTATCAGTTTTTAATGTATGATAAATGAGTGTCTGCCAAACGATTTTCTGCGCAATGTAGTTTATGCTATCCGTTGTTATGCAAAATAATATTATGACATAAAAAGTTCTGCTATAAATGGGGGGGACCCGTAATTATGCTATAAGGATAATCCACGCCATGTAGAAGTTTGAAGTATTCAAATAAGTTAAACTCTTTATAACACAGTTATATTATGTAGTTGTTATGTTTGTGTATCACTATAATTATCGAGACATGGATTACAAGAGTAGCAGGACACTACTGTTTTGACTATCTATTTTCTCGGCATTATCGCACTTTACATAATTATAACATAAGTGGAATAACGAATATAACCCTCATCAAAAAAGGTGAAGAATCGCGGCTCATTGTTAACATCACTACATGTTCACCAACACATTTATATTTACGTTAGCTTATATACTACAATAAATTAAAAAATATTGACTAATTACATGTCGTATATGTTACGAAAATAAATATTTTATAGTGATAAAATAATTAAATGGGTGTATAATAATATAATAATAATAAATAAGTAAGTAGATCATTAAAATGTTATAAATTATAAAAAAAAACAACAATTATGAAATTTTTCGACATTGGTTCAAACAGGATAATTTCCTATGATTAAAATAAATTGTTTTGCCATTCGCATAAAATTAAGTACATGACATAACGTAAGACCGAAAGCTACATTCGTTTTCGTTATTCAAATTTCTGTTAGTTTGAACTGGTAAATCAAATATTAATGATTTGGCAGTACCTTAGTCTAACTCATTATTTCACACAAACTACAGAATAAAATATTTTGACGTTTAATAAGAAAACTTTAAATCAGCAGAGTTGGTTTATAGTTCGTGCCAGTATTTATAACGTGAAATATTTAGGTTTATTTTAGACGTAAGTCTGATATGACTGAGAGAGAGAGAGCTCATAGAATGTAGGACTAGAACTATTAATTTGGAGTAAATTAAATTAATATATGTTATTTTTTTTATTACAACATTTATAAATAAAAATATTTCAGATAATCCAAAAAAATCGCTAAAAACAACGATAACATTAAAAGCTTACCTTAACATTAAAGCGATAACAGCAAAACGTTTAATCTTATTTTCATTTTAGTATTACATAAACTTAAATATTTTATAATTTATATTTTAAAATTAAGGAATAGAACATGATTTATGAACAATGTAAAGATTGATAAGCTTTTGTCACTTGGAAGAGTAACAAAGCGTGAGTGACAATCCTGAACTGATCAAAACAGGTCACTAATATCAAGCTACATATAATATTATGTGGGATTGTTTTTCTAAAATATAGTTTGGGAATGATTAAAGTAATATTTAGAAGCACTAATCCGAAGTGGATTTTTTTACTACTCTTAGTTATGGTATGTAATTATATTTCATATAGTTGTCGATTTGTTAATAAAAAGGCTTAATCTATCGACTGATTAATTTTTAAAAATGTATGTTACAAATTTGTCACATTTATGTTAGAAAAAAAATTAAATTAATAATTAAATTAAATTAAGATAATATTGTCCATGTATCTTATATACATGTCTTATTTTTGATAGATTTTTCCATGGTAGCTGCAATGATATTATCAATATTTGTTGAATTTTTATAAAAATATGTAAGGTAATACTGTCTGGCGTGAGTAGTAGAAATGAAAGAGAAATTACATCGCTTATTACATACAATATTTTACTTGTGTAAACAATTTATTGTTAGTTTTGTCTAGTATATTTATATTGCAATGGATCGATTAAAGAAAAAACGAGACATACTTGTTCATTAGATAATTGAATAATATGTCTTAATTTTGTTAATTGATCTATCGATGTAGGTGTACTTTGAGGACAGGGATAACCACGCGGCTACGTGTGTATTTCGACAATGCCTCTCTAATTTTGGATTCGATGAGGCTCTCCAAGGATAGAAGAGACCGACAGTGTCGGAGCCAAAACTAACACACTGCTGAATAAAACTGCACATCTTTAATTAATATAAACATCACTTACGCACTGAAAGTTTACATTATATTGTAGGTACCTACTTAAATCCGGGACGTGTAGCTTATTTAACACTTATAGGTAAGTTAGGGTATGTTTACACACAATCATTTCAATATTACATAGTAACAAAGAACAAGATAAGTGACATAAGAATTTTATAAAGAACTTGTCTTTGACTAGTCGTTCCGAGAGCATCGTCTTGTGTATGACCCTAAGATATATTGATTTGAAAATTCTTTTGCAACATTTTGCAAGACTGAAAAAGTATTTCTATTTAACTTTTAAAGTTAATTGTTACCTTCATACATTTAGTATATTCACTAATTTCCTCCATTGCGGTTCTGAAAAAGTAATTGATATATTGTTATATATAGCAAGGATAGAATTTTATTGCAGTACCCATGTGTGTATGGTTTGTAAATGGTTTTATTTTTTGTTTACATCTAACACACGACCGTCTGATTTCAAACTAGGCAGAACCTGCACTATGGTAACCATACTATTGATAAACACACCAATGTATTTCGAAATGCATACATACATATTACAGACGAATTACACCCAGACACTGAACAAATGATCGTGCTCATCACACAATTATTAGCCCTGGGTGGGAATCGAACCCACGACCTCTGGCTTAGCAATCAAGATGAATAACAAGTAAACCAACAAAATGCATGTGTGTCGCTATGATAATAGCTAAATTGCCTTATGTTTAATAAATAATAATATATTTCATACATCGGACACACAAAACGCCATCCAGTTAGTTGTGAATTACACAGTTAGTTGTTAGTGAATTTTTTGCCCACTAAAAAGTTGTCTAAATTTTGGAAAAAGTAATAGTCGGTAGGTGCAAGGTCTGGTGAGTATGGCGGATGAGGGAGAGCTTCCAACCCCAGCTCTTGCACTTGGAGACTGTCTGTTGCGCAGTATGGGGTCGCGCGTTGTCGTGAAGGAGCAGTGGGGACGACCGATTGACCAAAGCTGGTTGCAGATGTGACCACCAGACCTTGCACCTACCGACTATTACTTTTTCCAAAATTTAGACAACTTTTTAGTGGGTAAAAAATTCAATTCCCGAGAGGCAGTACAAAATGCCTTTGAAGAGTTTGTTGCCTCCCGTCCAGCTGATTTTGACAAGAAGGGCATCAATAAACTGCCAATGCGTTGGCAAAGATGCGTGGATTGCATGGGTGATTACTTCGAATAACAGAAATAAAAAAGTTTGAAAAAATAAGTACCTACTTTCACTTATTGCATACAAAACGGCAATTTCATAGGTAAAGACCTATTATTTAAATTGGTCTGGGTGTTTCTATGTATAATATGTAAGTATGTATTTACGAAAAAGTATATAATATGTGTTTTTATGCGTTGTCTAGTACCTACCCATAGTACAAGCTCTGCTTAGTTTGGGACTAGATGGCGTTGTGTGACTGTGATAGAACATATTATTATTACATATTTACCCTTTGACCCCATATTGTTCGAAATAGGTCCAGCCATCTTCGTGTATAAGTAACATGCATAAAAAAGGTCAAGACGAACCAAGAACATCGTTCATATTTAACATTGATTAAAAATATAACTACTTTTACTTACCACTGTATTTTGGTATGTAGACTAGAAGTTGTTTAATTAAAACCAGTGTGATAACAAATAAGTACCCAACAGCATATACACAGGCGACAAAGGATATTGCATCACTGAAAATACGAGTCATATTATATTCTGAAGGAGATTAAGACGAAGTAGGTAAGTACAAGGTTTTACTAAAAATTGAGATATTTTTGGCAAATTAACCAAGAGTTATATTTATATGAATCAAACACACATCACACATAGCATCAACAGCCTTTAATAGTCCAGTGCTGGACATAGGCCTCTCCTTAGAAAGGAGTTTTTGGCAAACACAATGAATCGATAATAAATCTGTAAAATTTTATAATGCTCTATCATATAGATTAACTTCAAAACAAAGTCCTAATATGACATGGCAATTTTCTGAATAATGTATGTATGAACTACTTTTTTATTTATTTATGGTAATGGTATGGTATGGTATACGAGAAGACGAGTCACCAGACGGTAAGTGACTACCGCCGCTCATAGATATCAGAAGGCTGAGTGGACAATTCAGTGCGGGTCAATCGTAGCGCCGAACGCGATCACCGTGACGATCGACTAGAAGTGAAATAAACTCGCACTTGGCCCTCTGCATTTAATGCATGCATTATAATGTAAAGTTTTTCCGCGCGAAAGTCTCTCCACGAGAGTTCAATTCGCAATTGGCCGCTGGTTTTAATTCATGAATATATAAGTACTAACGTTTGTGTCAAGCGTCACTTTATATTGGTTAGGAAAGGGTATGATTTTAACCAGTTTATCTTTGGCTTAAAAGAACTGACTTTGTGTATAGGTATTGTCCATCAGATTGCGTTAAATCAAGGTGGTGTTACAGTAGCAGCGGAATTCTGAACAAAGAGCCGAAGGGTATTAAAGATGGACAGAGAAATAAACATTAAAAAACGCTATGAATCTTTGTCTTTTATAATTTGCAAATTAAAATATAACCGCCAAATTTTTGCTAATCAAAATGTAACATAAATATTTTCGATAATTAATCCTTTTTTACTGCTATACATTTTTTCAGTTTGCCATTGATACACAATAGTGTTCTTTACCTCTACACTCCTTATATAGATCAGAAGCCTGAGACCTTAGCAATTGGCAGGTAAAAGAGGCATGTCATGTATTACAAGCCTAAGATTAACAATTAAGAACAAGTAAATTAGAATGACAAAGGAAGACTTACCTATATGTGTCATAAACATAATCACAGTTCTCAGGAACAAGTAAGACACCAAAAAATATGACTGGTTGACAAACTGTTGTTAAGGATATAATGGATCCAAAGAGGGTTGTAACAAATGCACACAGTTGGCCTGCGAGGAAATAAATGTAGTTAGGTCTCAACACACAGCAATCCCACCTGAAATGAAAAAGTATACAGTTGTAGCACATGGAAAGTATCACTTCTTTTTACTAAAAATATAAAAGGTAGATCTTGCAATATAACATTTTATATTTACATACTCAGATAAAGTATTCTTAGTGACCAAGACATCTTGGGTAAAACAACAAAGAGGGGATCCTCTTTTTCGTTTTACCCAAGATGTCTACTATTGTTTGACCAGAGTAAAAATTATGTCAGTGGAGGAACCAGTAGTGTACCATGCTAGCAGACTCATGCCAAATTCTGGACCAATAGTTAAAGAGACTTTCTATGTCTAGCCTGCAGGCTGTAATGCTCTGTGTACTTATCTCCAAAGTAGAGTTTATGGTGAAGGAGGCACGAAATGAACTGCATCAATGATAGGGTAAGGAGTCTTCCTAAAAGCCCCAGAAATAAGCTCAATCTATATTTGCTGGTGAAGAGATTCTTCATGCATTTTTGCTACCCCTATAAGTAATTCCTTGTATTGTTCTGCTCTTTTAGTTTCCTTTTCCAGAAATGTGGCCAAAATCATGCATTTTAAACAGATAAACTATGCTTACCATATAGAGTGAAAGAATCTCTCATTAACTTCAATTTGACATATTTGGCAGTAATGAGAATCAGAAGTCAGGACAGGACTGAAACATAATGCTAAGTGTTTTCAACAAATGAAATTAAAACAATGTCAAGTTTATTCAGATGTTAATTAAATATTAAACTGTGTGTAATTATCAATCTGTTAGGATGATTGGCGCAGGAGGACAATGAAACATGTCCTTATCTGTACTGTTCAACACTTTGATTTATTCTGGGATGACTAATTGAAATATATTTTAAAGAACCCTTTACCAGTTCCATTTCGTAAAAACTCAGTGGTCTAGTAGCATACTTAGCTATTAATGGAATGGAAGAACAGAAACAACTTTCTTTGAATTTCTTTTCTCTTTTTTATTGCTCACTCTTCCTTAAGTGTTACAGATATTTTATTATTTTCTTCTTGAATCAATTATTAAATGTACTGTATTACTTTGTATGAAAAATCTGTTTACCATTTTATTTAAATCAAGTTACCTGTACTCTTTCCCCTTTGAAGAGCCCGTTGCTAGTTCAAAGTCAGCCACAGTTTTCATTTTGTAAAAAAAATAGCAAGTACTGGCCAGTAATAATAATAATATGAAATGTTCATTTCGTGTTATTTGATAATAACCTAACACACCAAATTCAAATATTAGGAACATAGTTATACCCGAAGATACTGTCCATGAGTAAAAAAATGATGACCTGAAATAGGTAACAATATTCATATTTAAATTATTAAATAAGGCATTGTAAACTTAGTAATTAATAATAAGCGTAGCTATGTATGTAAGAAACTTTCTCTCTAAATGAAAGTTCCTAGTGTGTTCCTAAGTGCCTAAGTTGATAGTAAGCACTCTCCATAGGCTCTCATTTGTTCTTCAAGTATTGAAAGTGAAATTTAATTTAATTAAAACTAATTTAAATATGTTAGTATGAAAAGTATTATGTACGGAGCGCAAACTTAATTTCACCTGTTTTTCTGCTTAGGCCTGGAATGTACGTAAAGCGCGCCCATGCCTATAACCACCATAACAATTATAGTAACCGTGAGTGATATTGCAGCTATTAAAAATAACCCAGGCAGTAATATAAAAGGTAAAACGGCATCCGAATCAATTTTTTTTGTGGTCGTCTTACTAAATCTAGATGGTAATAAATCTTGAACAGTTAGTGTTGAATTTCCCATTCTTTATGGCAAACTAGCAGTTTTTGCTAAGTTTTTATCAATATCACCAACTGTTTATACGTTCAACAGAAGGAATTTCTTTTGTAGTAATATATTTGTCATCAATGTTTGTTTTCGATATTCGTCTCGTCTCGTATTAGAACTATGACATTAATGACATATTGTCAGAGTTGCCAGATCATTAAGAAATTAAGCTAAGCTAACAAGTCAAACCAGTCAAACATTGATAAGAACCCTAAAATGCATTATCTTTTTATTTTTTTAAATGAAATATATGTGTTTCTATATATGGTCTAGACATAAAAGAAAAATTTTAAAACTTAGAAAGTAGTTTATTTATTACAATTAAATGTTTTTTTTATGGAATAGCGGGCAAACGAGCAGACGGGTCACCTGATGGAAAGCGACCACCACCGTCTATGACTGCCTGCAACTCAGGAGTCACAAGCGCGTTGCCAGCCTTTGAGGAAGGGGTACACTCTTTTCTTGAAGGTCTTATCGGTCCGGAAATACCGCAATCGATAACTTGTTCCACAGTTGGTAGTGCGAGGCAAAAAGTGTCTTGAAAACTGCACAGTGGTGGAACGTCAATTATTATTATCCAAGTGGTGGGGATAAAAAAAATGCCGTGTCGAACAGTGGCGGAAGGTTGCATACGATAGAGAATGTAGAGCGAAGGGATCTCTACGTAACGCCAAGGGATCGAGCCGGTCCGGCCTTTTGACTCGAGATTCTTGATTCGAGTCGATCTTCTAGAATAGAACTTATTGTCTAGATTTACTATTGAAAGACATGAAATAGAAATAGAAATATATATATAAATTCATTTTTCTTGGTAAAATTTATAACACTTGTTTATTTCACCGATTTTTTCTTCACCGCAATCATATCAGTACCAATGTAATCATACAGTACAAATGACGGTCGGCCTTTTTTTGTTCTTCTTCTTTTTTAAAGGATCACACAGATAGAGATGGTCTCTATTTATTAAATTAATGATAAATATATAAATACAAATAGATAAAGTAAAATTAAAAGAAAGTAAAATTAGTGTAACCACAACGTGTATTGTCAACGACACCACTATACCACACCACTTGCACTAGGATGTCGTTTACAAAATTTTTTTTGGTAACCACACCATTGCCGACTAGTGATGTATAACGTGCAATAAAATAGTGTTTAATGAAAATCCTGAAATTGGCCGAGTTCACAAGGGATTCGATTGTATTTTGTTTTCATTAAAATAAAATCTAATTAGGTATTTTTCTTGATTTCATGTTTTGTATTACTTGATAAATTTGGTATTTAATTGTTTATCTCACTTTTATCATTTTGAGATATAAAGTTTAAAAAAAAAAACAAATAGTGGTGAGTAATTTTTTATGTCATGAAGCGAGTGATGTTTTATGGCATTTTAGTGTCAATAGGAGCGTAATTTGTCGTCTTTAGCAGTGTTATGTTAATACAGAGGATCCTACTGAGCAGCACCCAGAACGTTCAAGGAACACAACTGCTCGACAGGACCGATACATCAATTGAGGGCCAAATGCGAGTTTATTTCACTTCTAGTCGATCGTCACGGTGACCGCGTTCGGCGCTACGATTGGACCGCATTGAAACCTCCACCAATCGCAACGCTAAACACGCTCGCCGTTGAGAGCGAGTCGATGTGAAATAAACTTGCACTCAGCCCTCTGACTGCAAGACGTCAGCCGATGTTAACCGCCCAGCAGATAGGTTTAAAGCTACATTCTCAAGCGCTGTTGTTGTTAGCCGCCAAACCGTGAGAAATAGGCTGCATGAATACGGCCTACGAGACGACATCCAATTAGGTTGCCACCTATACGCCATGGGAATCGCGCTTTTTGTAGATGGCAATATGACGCTGTAACTTACGATGAAGATGTCCTCGGGTCTTATGTTCATCCATTTGCACAAAGTCGGCTCAGATTTCACGCTGATGCATGATAATGCGCGAACTCACACAGCCAGAGAGTACTTGGCAATTGAAAATATCAGGGTATTGCCGTGGCCTGCACGATCGCCAGACCTCAATCCCATCGAGCACGCATGGGACGTGCTCCAGAGACGTGTTCTAGAGAAACCGGACAGAGTGTCGACAACCCAACAACTGAAAGACTTGTTAAAATTCAATTTTGAGTGATTGCAGCAGGATCAGATAAACAATTTTAAAATTTCAGTGAAAAATCGTTGGCGACAAGTTTTAAATGACCAAGGCAGTCACACTTTGTATTGAATTAAAAATAAATAAAAAAAGGTCGTTATTTAATTTTGTAAAACATGAAAAGTTAAATTTCGTTTGAACTTTATTTTATATTGCATTACGGTTTATAAGTGTATTTGTATCTGTCTATTCATTTTGTTTTACTGTCTGACAGGGCTCCAAATTGTTGTGTGCCCGGGGCCCTGGCTTGGCCTAAGACGGCCTTGTCTACATACTTAGTTTTTAGAGTTGTAATGTTTTTGAAAATAATGGAACGTTTGCACTATGTACAGCTAAAGGTGCGCCACAGTGTTTCACTCATGCAGTCATTATCGAACACATTGGTCTATTGTAATCCGTTGTCAGTTCTAAATAAATAATTTATTAGTATTATTTTACATACTATTGTACCTAAGTAACGATTGCATTTCAAGTGCCCACTATTACTTTATTAACTCTATGTTGAGACAATTGTTAGTAAAATAACTTCTCAGTAATTGGGGCTGAAATGATCAGTTTTTGGTTTTAGTTAGTAATAAGACTTACTACTACACTAGTGTTTATTTATGTTCAAAACCCAATCCATTTTCAGTCTTAAAAATTACAACAACTTTGTAATGTTAATACTTAAGCTATATAAATAGATAATAACTTCATACATCTCACACACGGCCGTCTGATTCCAAACTAGGCAGAGCCTGTACCCTGGTAACCAGATTGCTGATAAACATACTTATATATTTCTAAATACATACATACTGTAAATAAATTATACCCAGACAAGAAACAAATCGTCGTGCTCATGACGCAATTATTTGATCTGGGTGGGAATCGAACCTACGACCTTCGGCTTAGCAGTCAGGGTCACTAACCACTAGACCAACAGGCCCGTCAAATGTCTAAACGATTTCACACTGTGTTTAAATAATTAAATAACAGTATATATTATTTGAGTACTTAGTATCTTTTTAACTTTCTTCGTTTGTTGTGAGAACATGTCAATGTACTGCAATGAGAACCATTATTGAATAAATTTAAAAGAATATCTCAATAAACAAAAGGTTGTGTATATCTAATTTGTACAGTTAATAGGAACCAGATTTATATTGCCCCTATTACTTTTTAACTAGAATAATTTGTGACACATTGAGCTGACACATAACATAACACAGGTTTCTTCCTTGCGCTTGCACTGTCTGTCGCGCAGTTGGCTTGCGGGTGAACATGAGATACTATTAGTTTATGTAATACTACGTGTTTTTTTGTAATGTATTTCTATTGAATTCTATTCTATTAATTTCTATTGAAGAACTTCTTTCTGCATCAGGCTCTTCATCCAACTGATTAACGAACGAAGATGGCGGTCGAGGCTCTTAGCAATTAATCCATGCGTCGATATGAATATCGGAACAATGATTGCTGAATCAACATCTCACATGTCGACAATCTCGTGGGCCAAATCCAAATACTTTATTTTGTTTATCTTTTTCAGCTTTCAGGAGATTGTCGTCATGTGGAATGGTAATGTCAACAATCATTGGGTGGCGCTCTAATCGGTCTATTACCACTATATCAGGTTTATTGGCAACAATATTCCTGTCAGTGATAATAGGGCGATCCCAGTACAACGTTGCAAGACCATTTTCAAGAACTATTATTATAATCATTATTACTTTTGCAGAAGTTAAATTAGTTGTAGAAAGTTTATACGGTCGCGATTTTCTTTAAAAATCGGTTGATCACTCGTAGACTCTGAAGTGCTTGATCTGTAGTTTGAAGATTTTTCTCCTGAGACCGCTAATAATCTTGTCCGGAATGGTGATTCACGGATAATGGAATGAAAGTCGAATCTAGTGCGTAATCTGCCATAGAAATAGTTCTACGCCTACTTCGGACCGAATTTTCACGGATTCGGATGGAACGTAGTGAGAAACCGCTTTTAGTTTATGAAATAATGTATTTTTAATTCAATTTTTTTATAGTAATTTGTCACTTCATGTAATTCTTATAATTCGAGAGCTGGTGAACCGGTTTTTTTCGGGTTTGTTTTTGAGGCACTACGAAATTTTTTGTAATTGTTCTTGTATGATCTCTAAATCAGACAGTGGAGGTCTGACTGAAATTTCTTTATTAAAAAAAATGACAGGCATTTTGAAATTATCATATCTTTAAGGAGGTTAGGTTAAGAAGTTAGATATTTAAGGAATAAAAAAAAATGTTGACCAGACCATTGCAACATGGGTTTATAAACAAATGCAAAAAAATGATTTTGAGGTACTTTGAAATTTTGGGAGAGTAAAATAGTTACTTAAAAAAAAAAAATTATCGAATTTTTTACTTGCCAGATGATCGTGCTCAATCATCAAAAATATCTATCTTAAAAATATCAAAATTTAAGAATGCCCGAAAAACATTTTTGAATAAAGAACTTTCCCTTTTAAATTGGTAGGGCCGCTAACCTTCAGGCAGACCTCGACTATCTAATTTAGGGGTCCTTCACGGACAATTACTACATTTTTCGTACCGCCTTAAGAACCTAGCCAAAACTGTTTACCAGTTCTCGGATTATTTTTACCTTAAAATAATGTTTACCTTAATACGAAAAAATTTCAATCTTTTGTGTTGGTACTAATTATAGGTATTTTGTTGCACTAGGACTATCATCCTTAAATAGATGTACCTATTCCGTTACTGAACATTTGTTTATGAGTCAATTAGTACCTAATTGTCCCATATGGTTTTATCAAGATACGTATTACGATATTGATGGTCTATAGGCGTAGAAAAAAAATTGGACTCGGTGTTGATGGCTTTTCTTTAAAGCCGAGCCAGATTGATTTCACTTCCTTATAGCGTGTTATTTTTTCTAGATTATTTTCGCATTAACATTGGTTACGTATCTACGTAGATAGTAACTTTACATTACTGTCGAGGCATGCCCCGTATTACAGCAGTTAGGCAGGGGTCGCGGCATTCGACACACATGCGCGATGTCAGTCAACAACAGATTGCGCGCGCACGCGTAACTAACATTGTGTTTTTTACCTTATCCGCCGGCAACGACAAACCGACCGACAGTATTGATCGGGTCTCCGCCACGAAAAGGCGTCTTGAAAATGCGACACGAATATTGCCGCGATTAATCTGTGTTCAATACTAACATATTGTTAAGAGCCATAAAAATAATAAAAAAATACATCGAAATGGAGCGTGAGAATAGGAATTCACAGTGCTAATTGTATACAGTTCCCGAAATGTCCAAGGTAAGCGTTATCGCTGGATAACTATTGTTAATTCAAGCCTGTACGGGTAGGTAGTTGCAAAAATCATTGCCAAGGACGTTGTGAAATTAAAATGAAAATATAGCAGCCACCATCGCCTTTTAAGTGTTTACAAATTGTAGACTTTCAGGAAATTGTTACAAAAATGTACCTACTATGACTATTTATTTTTCCATTGTCTTTGTTTAATACGTCGTGAACACTAAAATTGGCAATATCCTTTTCTAGATAGATAACTAGTTTTCAGGGAAATGGCTTCTACGATAACGTGACCTCCTAAAATAATAGATCAAAACTCTGTGATGCCCTGTTTCCCTATCTCACTGTACATATTCAAAGCCTTTGTATTCGTTACGCAGCTGTGAATCTATTGCCTAAAGGTAATACTTTATAATCGTATTGTATTTTATTCATGATGTAATTAATGTTTAACATTTTAACGACATTTTGTATTGTACAAATGGTATTCAGGAGTGACAGTTGAGTTGAATGACATCCTGAAATCTTGCACTTCATTGGGTTCTGTAATAAAATGATAAATTTCAGTGCCACGGTACAGTTTATTAATAAAAGCCAAGGCTTAAAGACCTAATATATAATTTATAAAATTGATTCCAATGGTCCCCGGTTTTGTGTAGGCATATAGTATCTAATTTTAAGGTTGAACCTTATAATTAGACAATAGGTAGGTATAGTGCTTAGTCTTTGGTTAATGTAGTTTCCGTTTTCAATCAGACCTTAACTAGGTATTTGGTTTCCGTTCATGTATGTACGTTAAAAATGACGGCGATTGTAACAAGTGTATAAAACACGGATAGTATATTACAAAAACAGACTTAATAATAGAAAAAATGTGCGTATTTAATTACATGATAAGTAATTAAATACCATTTACAGAAAATGTACATACTGATTATGTACGTTTTCTGTTAATGGTGTTTAGTACATCTCAAATTACATATTTTCATCTGTTAATATAATATTATGTTAGTATATATGTACCTTTAACTTTTAAAATTACGCGTTATTATTTTGCAATGCAATTTACATAAATCAACCTTAAAGTACTCGAACTTGTAACAAAATGAAACGTGCTGCATAACTCATTGTTATTACTTTTTAATATAATATTTATTCTTTAATAGGGTAGTTAGATACTTATGTATAAATAGGTATATTAATAAAATAAGTTTTAAACTCTGAGTAGTGTGATAAATAATGCAGTTTATTTCGGCCATATTTTGCCATACCTGTGATTGTTTTTGGTAAATGTGTATCACAACTTACGTACCTACAGTTACTGATTCTTGTCGGAAGCCGGTTTCACGGGGCTTGTTTTTATCGCCTTTACCAGAGTCCGTTGTACCGTCTTCCTTCCTTATTAGGAGTATAAAATTATATTTTTCTTACTTGACGTAGATATTTAAACTAAATAGATAGACACTAAGTAAAGGTTGACATTAATACGTTAAAGGATATATCTACCTACTAATGTTGGTCCTATGCTATTCTCGTCATTTTTAAATCGTTTTTTTATAATTTTGTTTACATTTACATGGCGTGTTCAAAAAGTATTTACCTTACCTAATTAAAGTGAAATCATAACTAATTTTATTTTAGTCTAAATCTTGCAATAGATTTGTTCAATGTTGTTGTGAGTTAAGTATATGTATAGGTATGCCCGCAATAAATATTTTTAATATAGTATATGAAATACCTATACCTCCCTAATTTAACAAAATTATGTGTCCAATTCTAGAAATGATAACACGAGCCATTTGGCCGGATACCGGATTATGAACATTAGGCAGTCATTGAGGCCGGGTAGATGGTCATAATGACACCGACTTTTTTCTTAGCTGACTTTGCCTATATAAGCAATATAAGCATGAAGTTAAAATGCAAAAGCATGAATTAGATTCGTTTATTTAACTTCACGTACTTTAATTTATTTCTTTACTAGCTTTATCCGTAGCATCGCTCCCTTAAATTTTCATTTTAATGTTATTACCCCATTTTCTTTTTTGTAAAGGGATACATACCTACTCCCAATGTATGCAAAATTTTATAACTATGGGTTCCATATACGCGTAAAGCACAGAACAGTTAGGAGGTAACCTCTTGTAACTGTTCTGTGGCGTAAAGGCATTGCACAGAAAGTACCGTTCGCATTTATACTATTAATTAATTAACATAATTAATTAATATTAAGGAAACAGTTAAACGTTTTTGTTCTATAATGTTAATATCATAATTAATCGTTTGGTTAAAGTATTTATCGTATCAGTTGCGAACAAAGCTTTTCCTTTGTAATATTTGTACTTTCACGACCAAGCATATTTTATTGTTTCTCCCACAGTTTCTACAAACCATTTCTCTATGTTCAGTTTACATATCATAGAGTAACATTTATCTTACTCATATTAAATTGCATTATCAATATATGTATAAAATGTTAATCTTCAATATTAACAATTATTCAATACACATTGGTATTAATTTCAGAGTACTACCTGTATACATCTTGTTGTCGATGCTTATGTGTTGTAGAGAAAAATGTACTTGTGTACTTAAATTTACTATCCTTTACCTATACAGAAAAATAAATAAATTTAACGGATATTTGCCCACTGTCTGGTATTAGATGAGCCAAGTGGTAGCGGATGAGCCAGAGTCTGGATATTGGTTTATTTGACCACGATTCATCTTTTTAACTATTTTAAATTTAACTTAATCATGTAGGTAATAAATTAACATAATATACGTTTGTTGTCAGGCAGTGCAAGAGTTGTATTTAACGAGAATCATATATACTACCACTTTATAAATTTTATAAATTTAAATATGTATTTATTTGCTATTTATAGGTTTTTATAGAGATTTTTACAAGGAGAATAAATAATAAGAGATATTATCACAGAATATATTATTTATGGTATAAATCTATGGTATTAAAGAAATGAAAAAACTAAGTTCACATTAATTGCCTCGCACGGTGTCATTGCCACTTGCTACTTTGACTGGCAGTTGGTGATTTTTTATTGACCTGACGCTAGTACATACTTCATGATAATATGTAACTAGTGTATCACTCATAGACTTTCTGACATCATTTATGGCTTTGTTTTTTATTTTAACATACGAAGCTCCCAATTTAATTCAATTGCTTGCAAATTGAAGTAATTAATTTATTTACGACTTTACGTACCCCATGCAATATTAAGATGAATAAGAGGTTTGCTGAATCTTTTACATTTGAGATACATATGAACTAAATAAACAGACAGGTATGGCATAAAAAATAATATAGTGGGGTTAAATTTAAGGTATAGGGCAACAGTGGTGTCACCATATTCTCAGAAAAAAGGATATGAAGATACATTTAATAGGGGTTTATATTAAATCATAAATTAAGGGGTTAAAATTAAGTAGGTATAAATTTTTCTGTTACTTTAAGGTGAGAATTATTGTTTTATTCGTTTCGTAAACTTATAGATTGACAAAACAGACAAAACGTAATCAAACGTAATCTCTGTAATCCATCGAAAATGATCCATACAATCATTTTCGATGATGTAAAAGTTAATTTGTGATAATTTCGGTAGCAAATACTTTTAGTTAACATTAAACACACTGACAGTAAACAGTACATTTAGTAAATAAATAGCGGAAATTACCTTTGTATGTACTGGTATGTACCTAGTTGAATATTGGCCATCGTAAACTAATCATTCTTGACGCCGTATTTCCGAGTATTTAAGAGCATCCTTAGTAGGATAGTTAGGTACAAATAGTTGTATAACTAATTGGAAAGCTAGCATAAAACAATGCATGTAAACTTTGTGGGAAAACTTGCAGTCCAATGCAGTCGGATACACCTTGGCCTACATCATTCATAATGAAACCAATAATTATTTATTTATTATTTAGAAGCTAATACACTGCAAATTGCACGGGTGGCGCAGTGGTTTAAGCGGTCGCCACGCCGCTTACTACTACTACGCTGAGAAGTGTTGTGGGTCCGATCCCCACATGGGACGAAACTTAATCTTAAAGGTTGCATTTTATTCAATATCAACGTGTGCCACACAAATTAAAATTATTGATGTGATTTATTAATTAAAAATTCACAACCTGCTAGAGCTGGGATATGGTCGACATAAACGAAAACTGATTTTGGGGGTTGACGTGGTCTTAAAATCGACCCACATTAATGACAAAAGTTCTTATTTCACAAGAAACTGTATGTAATAATATAATAAGTTGTGTGTATCAATGCTTTTTAACGTTTTGTAATGTAACGTTATTTGTATTAAAAATTATTAATTACACTTGATATTTACTGAATTTTATGTCTATTTATTTTGTTAAATTTTGATGAGAAAATGTCAAGTTTAGTCACTTAAGTAACCGCAAAATTTCTAAATAGGTAAATATTTTGAATTATTAAGGAACAAACTATAGATATTATTTTTAAAGTATTTTGGCTATTCAGTTAATTTTGGAAAGGGGTCTTTTTCCAAAATAGTTTGGGAATCCCTGCTCTACACTGTCTAGAGTATCTATGTAGAAATTATCATAATTCTATTATATTATTACATTGTCAATAATATTAATAGAATTCACATGTAGGTACGTTAAAGGTAAAAAGAAGGCTTTAGAAGTTATGGCATAATTTTAGAAACCACTTTGCAGCCACCTGTACATGTGGTTTTTTTTTTACAAAAAGCCCTGAATGTTCGACATTTATGGTCAATTTCAGTTTTGAATACAGTGATTAAACTATATTGAGTGTAAGCACGCCAATCAGCCGCTGTTAGTTCAAACTTTAAATTTAAAGCATAGTTTGACTATTGAGTGTAGAAGTAGCTTGGCAGAGGCTAAATTACAAAGTGATAGAGAATTAGAAATATGTAAAAAACGGCGTGAGGGGTCTATGGAGCCCCGGTCGAAACGAAGTTCCTTTCGAAGATGAATTATCG